TGGAGAAAGATAGAAACATTTACTGGAGGAAAATCTGAAATAAAGAGAGAATGATAGTGGCTAAGTTGTAGCCCCTAATTATGGACCTCAAACTGTAAATTTATCTGAGATCACAGAAATAATTTTTTTTTGTCTTTTTCGTTTTATCGGTACCAGGGATCGAACTCATGACTGCCTGCTTACAAGGCAGGCGCTTATGCTGCTGAGCTAAGCCCCAGAAATAATTTTTAACCCATTTTTTGTTTTTATGTTTTATTTTCAACTGGTTCCAACAACAACAAAAAAATCTAGCTCCAAATTCCTGATTTAAAAGTACTTTCAAACTGAAACTTTGTCGCCCCATAAAAGAATATTATAAACACATGGATTTCTAAATAAAAACAAAATAGTTTTACTTAAATGATCATCATCATCATCATCATAACCACCAAATTCACTCTGAAGAAAATGAAACAATCAATAGTGGAAGGATATTTGACTTTATTTTAGGGGATTGAGACCAGGTGCTTACAGGATTAAGGCCATGGATAGGGGGCCTATGAATACAATATTGGAATATTTAAGAGAAGAAATATGAGTTCTTTTAAAAGTCTTTCTTCCCAAAGTTTCAAATTTTAGCTTTTGAGGTAAGAATTTTTAGTTCTTAGTTTTATTTTGGGATATTATTTGCAAATGGAATGCGGGCATTGTCCTGGTGATCACGACCGTTCAGCGCTGAATGCGCCTTTCTGGTAACTGTCTGCCTGTAAGCTTCTAGGATGAGTACATTCTGCTTCTCTCCCATGTTCAGCTGCAGACAAATGCTAGGAAATTTCCCTCTGCATTCTATTTCAGAATTTCATGCCGTTTATTACAAGGGCTCTTTCGAGATTCTCATTTCTCATTCAACTTTCTTAGGTAGCTGTAAATTTGTTAGTTTGCCAATATTAAATGCAAATACCCAAGAAAAGATAAATAAAATGCAGCCAAACCTTCTGAGTTGATTTTTACCAAAAGATCAGTGAGGGTTTGAGAGATGAGTCCTGAGCTGCTTATTGACTCCTATTCTGTACTTGGTACCAGTAACACCCTGAGAGGCCAAGCTTGCAGTAATAATGAAAGTTATTCATTTTCAGACAATAGGGCCAGTAATAGAACGCTTACAAACCAAGCAGAGGGAATAGGAAACATGTGTTCTGGACAATGCCTCGAAATGGATCTAACAGGCAAGCCTTGAACAACAGCTGGGTGTTTTTGTGAGTAGTGGGGAAACAATAAATGTTTAGAGTCATACTCAGTTTTGCAACTTAACTAGTGGCATGATGTAACTGACCAAGTAAAGGTCGGGTCTCAGTTTTCTTATCTATGAAATGATTAACATTTGGATTATTGTAAGATTAAATATAATCAATGCAATTCCTCCAACTTTGTGTCTTTCCCATTACATTGTCAGTGGCAAGTGGTAATTTTATGCCTATTATTACTTTCTCAAGGCCAGGGCAACATTGATTCCTAGGGCCCCATTAATTTAGTAAAAGTTATTTGTGAAGGGAAAAACAAATGAATAAACAACAAAAAATTTCAGATCTGGAAAAATCTGATTATACCATTAAATAAGCCCACCAGAGATAAGAATGGAAAAAAAAATATTGTTAGAATTGGAAACCATGGTGTTATTCCTGGGTACTCCCTACTCTCACTGTGAAATAACCAGTGGAAATATCACTCTTCTATCCATAAATGTGGGGCATTTTATTGTTCACTTTTATAGTTTCACACATTGCCAAGGACTAGCCCTGCTGTAAGCGCTGGCCCATGCACTGCCGTCAGATTTCCGATGGAAACAACTTTCATAGTGATGGCAGTAAAACTCTAGAGGATGGAGCATACTAGGAAGAGCAACTGAGCAGAGGAACTCAAATGGACAGAAAAATTCAAAGAGTTGAGGGGATTATGTTGAAAGAATTGAAAGTGAAAGCTGGAATAAAAACCAGCCAATTCTGAAATAACTGAAGAACACCAATTATAGTGAGTGGACAGAGGGAAAAATGATATTTTGTGATTTTTTTTTATGTTCTACAGACAACAACAAATGAAGGCTGTGGGGAGTGTGAATGGTAGAGACATAGAAAGCCTCACTAGGAAAGTAGAGATCACGGGGAGTGTAGCTACAATTGTATTTGCCAAGATGAAATAACTTGGATATAGTGCAGGAGTAGGAGACAAAGAATTTCTTTATCATGTCATTTCCCATTATGCTCTAGTCTCACTTACCAAACCATAACAACGTCAGCACAGGAGAGACTCACCCTATAAGTTGTTTCAGAAAAGTTACCAAGAATAATTTTAGAAGCATAACACAAATGGTAATACAATAGCCCAAGGGACAAAGAACACTGTCTCAAAATGAACTCCAGACAAAAAGAAACCTCAGTCTTCTATCTCAATACTTATGGTTTCTTCCTTCAATGTCTCACAATATTTCATGCAAATTTTCTCCTCTTGATAAGTCTCAGATCTGACCTGTAGCTATTAGGTCTCCCAGCAGATGACGTTTTCTTTTCAAAAGAATGGAAGTCACCAGATAACTTCCTTGACTCCTGCTCACCAAAATGACAGATCCTCTACTTTTCTATCTCTGTTGCCAGATGCTGGCTGAGACAACCATCTACTCTTGCTTAGATTGTTATAGCTGACTGTCAACTGGTTCCCATATTTAGGGTAAATTTTTGCTCAGTCTCTTTGCTATCGGTAAACACAGAAATGATTGTGTCCTTTCCCTATTTACCTCTAAATCAGTACCACTCACCCATTCTTTGTGTAACTAAAACTTCTGTGGTTTCTGGACTAAATGAGTATCTTTTCCCACCAGTATTGAATAGTCTGCAGTCTGTTAGGAACCCATTGCACAGCAGGAGGTGAGTGAGAGTGAAGCAGCAAAGCTTAATCTGCATTTAGACCTGCTCGCCATGGAGGGCATTGCCACCTCCTGCCTGATCAGCTGTGACATTAGTGTCATAGGGGCCCGGACCCTAGTGCAAACTACATGCATGAGCAGTCCAGGTTGCATACTCCTCATGAGAACAACACCTGATGATTTGAGGTGGAGCTGAGGCAGTTAGGCTGGTGCTGAAGGATGTAATTTTATGTACTATAAATATATGCTAATAAGAAAAAGAAGCTAGCCCCTCTCCCTTGTCCACAGAAAAACTGTCTTCTATGAAACCAGTCCCTGATATCTAAAGGTTGTGCCCTGCTGTTTTAGAGGATATTTTTTCTCTAATTCTTTGCTGTAGTATGAAAGCAAGAATTGTATGTCTTGATCACTGACCTGTCCTTCTCCTCCCCCGCCCCCCCCCGGCACCCTAGAGGGCACCTAGTACCTTGCATAGCATCTGCTGGGTAATACTTTCTCAGTAACAGTTGTCAAATAAATTGTCTTTCAGACTCTTATTATTATTTTTACTATTGAACTCGAGACCTAAAGGTTTGTGATGGTTAATATTTGTTTTCACAGAGGATTTGGGCATTTAGAGAAACTTCTTTGTCTCCATACGAAGGTCATATGAATGTGGTTGCTTATGGATAATGATTTCTACTATGCAAGGAGAAGGATGTTCAAGGATTTTTTGTTTGTTTTTTCTGGATCTAGAGATAATGTAATAGATAAGAGAGGTTTTGAGATTTCTAACACGGCAAATACCATTTCAAAACTACTTGAATACTTGAAAGACACCTTATAAGTTCACCTTATATTTCACCTTATAAGTTGCACAAACTTAGAGCCAGGAGAAACCTTCCCTGTCATTTTGGAATGGTTCCTAGACACCATCTAGGAACTTAGCCTGCAACCTTCCTGACAGGCTTTGCCTGACTAGCTCGAGACCCTGGAGGAATGGGAATCCTTTGCCGATGAGGCCACCAGCCCACTATGAAATGTTCTACTGCTGTAGTATATTTTCTTTAATTTCCTTGTCCCTTCTTTAACTGGTCATTTCTCCTTCTGTCATTCCTACAAATTGGTCCTGCACTTCAGTTCACATCCGCAACCTTACAGGTTTTCTGAAGGAAAGAGTTCCCGCAGGCAGAGGGAGCTAACTCTCTGAGCGCGCTGTATTTCCAGCCCTGGGTGGGGACCCTTCCTCTTAACTTTCCTAACCTTTTAACCAGTCTAGTAAAGCAAGCATTAGTAGCATTTTACTCAGATTCGGGAAGGACTTCCCACATATGGATCTCTAGTATTGCAACTCATTTTTTAAAAATTAAAGGCTCTGAGACAAGAACCTGGGATGCTAATTTATCTGTTAATGAACAGTCATGGAATTGGCTCCCTTTTACTATTTCTAAAGTTTGGAGTATGATTCTGATTGTCTGAGATAAACTTGGACATTTTTTTTCCCACAATACTGTCTTTGGAAACCATATTAATGACAATCTTTTCAGTACATAAACATATCATGGCCTTTGAAATCATTCTCCAACCTATTTCCCCCAAATTCTATTGCTGCTTTAAAATAAGAACTTCTGGCTTAGAAATAATTCAAACCATCAACACTATAACAAGCCCTATAAACCATCGAGAGACTAAACAACCTGAACTAAAATAACATTGACATTCACATTCGCGAATGCAGTCAGTAGTAATGTAGGGTTAAAATTGATGACTCCTACAACAAACTGCTTTAAGGGTTTACTAACAATCCAAAGTCAATGTTTGGAAATTCTCAGTGAATAATTCACAGAGATAAGTGTATTTGAACCAAAGTAATATTTTATACTATGAACATAAAATTTGATTTTATTACATTTGTGGGCTTTTGACAGGCTGAAATTAAAAACAACTAATTGATTAAAAATATCATATCACCAGACAACTATTTTGAAATGTTCCCTTTTTAATTGGTTTTATAGGCAAAGTTTAGACAAAGTCTTGAAAGTTATAAATATGTTAAACAATACCTTTGAGAAAATCATAACATGATATAGTTATTTAATTCTTTTTTTCTCTGTTCTGTTTTCAGCTTTTCCAATGTACTTATAACTCAAATTGAACAAAACAGCTCTGTGGACATTTCCCTTCACCCACTTCCCAATGATGATAACTGATCTGAAAATCCTTTCACACCTGGAAATCTATTTATATAAAAGCAGCAGGTAAATATTAAGGAAAAACATTGTAGATAATAAAAGAAACAGCCCTAAAAATAATATGCCTAGAAAAAAAAACCTAAAAGAAATGTCTTATGATGTTGGCAGGAATCATTTTGGATGATGAGGTTAAGGGTAATATTTTTTCTTTATTGTCCTATTTTAAATGGTAAAGGTATATTACTTTTGCAATACAGAAGCTTTATTTTTAAAAAGGCCATTGTAGACACAATAATGTCTACACGTCTGAAATATGATCTCAGGTAAATGTGCAGGCGACAGAATGCTAAGCAGAGACACAGAGGCGTCCGCTGATTGCAGAAACACAAGGTAACTGGATAGCCAGGCCCACCTGGTGTGTAAGGCACTCACTTCTTGGCAGATCACTAGTGTGGTTCCAAATATAGTGACAGGTCTTTGGTACCAGATTATTTCTAATCTCTTGTGAGGAGGTCAGTGCCTTTTCAAACAGCTCAGAGCAATGATTTTGATTTTGACCCGAAAAGCCAGTGTAGGTAATCTAGGCTAGTTGGTTTTAAGTAATATAGTTACCGTTCAGTGCATAACAGGATAAAAAATATCTGCATACTCATAAAGTTAATAAAACTTAGAAGTGGTTCAGTCTTAACTTTTAAGCATATTGACAGAATTTACATTAGGGAAATGCAGCTCCAGTGTTCAGGAGACATGTTAGGTTCTTTTATCTTTCTTTCTTTTTTTTTTGGTACTGGGGATCAGACTCATGACCTTGCACTTGCCAGGCAGGCAACTTGTGCCACTGAGCTAAATCCCTGGCCCCCAGGTTAGGTTCTTATTAGGACTATAGACAGATCCCATTAAGCATAGAACAGTGGGCAGGACTTATCATCCCAGTGATAGTTACTTAAAAATGACTTGAATTAGTCATCTAACAAACAAACAAACTACTATCTTAAAAATTTATGGACTTGGTATGGTTCAACATGCTATAAATCCAGTACTCAGGAGGCTGAGGCAAGAGGATTACTGCAAGTTCAAGACCAACCTGTGTTGCTTGGTGAAGTCAAGGCCAGCCTGGACTACACAGTGAGACTCTGTCTTAAAACACAAAAACCCTAAAAATCCTGAATAAATAAAAGTTGAAAAGGGCTAGGAATATAGCTCAATTGTAGGACCTGGGTTCAATCACCAATACTCAAATTCAAAGACAAACTTTGGACAATTTTTATTTGATGCATTTCCTCCTCTGTCAATCCATTTGTTATTTTAACAAATGATTTTTGAGAATCTCTTATATGAGAGGCTTAATCATACGTGTTCAGGAATGCACCAGGGGATAAATGCAAAACTATCTGTGATCGTAGAGCTCATGTTTACAGAGTTAAGGAGATTGAAAGAACAAATAAATAAATAAAATACATGTATGTCAGATGGTTCTAAATATTGTGAAGAAAAATAAATGCAGGAAGCGGGGTAGGACATGCCCCATGGGGAGCAGATGTGGAGACAGAGGTGGGATTTTAAACAGAGTGGTTAGGAAAGGTTGTACCGTAGTGTAACTTTGTTAAGGGATGTATGTTAGCTGCTTCCACATGACTTTAATAATCTCCTTTCAGAAATAATTTGAGTACCCAAACTAGGAGAACACTGACCTAGGGGTTCTGTGGTTTTTGTTGCATACTTGCAATAAGACCGTGTAAGATATTATAAGTGTAAGATCTTGTCTCTAAGACTGGTAACTTTGCCACAAAAAACATGGTTCTATACAGAATAAATTGAGTGACTATTTCTTCTCTAGTTAAGTGCTTGGTATACAGACTCCTCAGATGTTACTCCGCAGTGGATCCCCTGAATGAATACAGTCATGCACACGGACATTGCTTCTTTTTTTCCCCAATTCATTCGTTTGCTTACTTTTTTTTTTTAAATGGTGATTTTTTTTTTGTTTGTTTTTTTTACTCATACACTAAGAATTGCTATTTATTTATTCTTTTTTTGTCTTTTTCATTTTCTCGGTACCGGGGATCGAACTCACGACCGCCTGCTTACAAGGCAGGTGCTTATGCCACTGAGCTAAACCTTCAGCCCCCATTTGCTTACTTTTGAAGCTGAGTGTGAGCCCACTGAGGGTATGGCTAGGGCAACAATTCGTTCACCTTGGCATCCTCAGTTCCAAATCTAGTGTCTGGAATATGTCAGGCGCTCTGTGATTGTCAGTGGAATAAACAAAATTTGAAAGCAAAATGGATACTTGAAGACTTGAACCTCTTAAGGGATGAATCGCTAATGACCTCCTTACCACTCAGTTGCCCCAGTGAGTGTCACAGCACGACAGTTACTCTGCTTCTGCAAATCCTCCACGGAGCCAGCGCCAAGGGCCTGCTCTATGGAATAAAGTGACAGTCTTCCCACAGCAGGGCACTTTCAGTGTAAGGGATGGTGAGACTTTCTTCCCAGTCCCATTTTCCCATGACGGTGCTGTTAAACGTGAAAGCTGCGGTCCCCACGTCCCTTCCACCTCTGTCATAGTTAGTAATGTGCATTATATCCCTGTCCCACGTGGCATGGAAAAGTGATGCTCTTCACACCAGATTGGGACAAACTTATGAGTTTGATATCTACTTTTGGGGAGTCAGAAGAGAGAGAGGGGGAACATAGAGGCTTTATTTTTTAATGAAGTCCTGCTTCTAGGTCTTAATTATTGTGTATTTTTTTGGTAAACTGCCAAATCCCTGTGAATTTTACAGGCTCATTGCAGGAATAGTAATTAGTACCTCCCAGCATGGTAACGAAGGTCAAGATGGATAATATATGTAAAGCATTTGTTATGGCTCCCAAGGCATAATGGAATCATCTGATAAACTATTGCTAGTATTTCCAACACTACTAATTGAGTGAATTGAGGCAGATAGAATTTTCACTTCTATAAATTTTGTTTCCATTGTTGAACATTTATATAATCAGTAAAGATAACAATTATTAATATGTTTGCATTTTAAAATAAATCTAAGTACATTACAATAACCAGGTAACATTTATAACACTCTTGGTTGCCTTAGCCCTTCAGCATGTGAAAAAAGTGTAAGATGTTGTTTTTATAAACATGTCAGAACCAAGTGTGATAGCACAAGTCTGTAGTCCCAGCTACCTGGGAAGCTAAGGCAGGAGGATCACAAGTTCAAGGCCGCCTTGGTAACTTAACAAGACCTTGTCTCAAGCTGAGAAGGGGCCAAGGGTATAGCTCCGTGGTCGAGCACTTGCCTAACACATATGAGGGCCTCAGTTCAATCCCCCAGTACTGTAGAAGCAAAGAAAGCATTTTGTACTGAAATAGGACGGTATCTAACAGGGACCTCGCCGTGGTCCCAAAAGCCCTGAACTGCGGAGGAACAGTTTAGCAAGCATTTTGCCTTCGTGCTGGTTGACATAATCTCAGTTCTTTGATAGTTTTCTCAGGAAAAAGACAACTGATAGAAATCATTTTTTTCCAGGTGGGAAGGCCATGCTTTAACAGAGTCTGAACTATAGTCCGGTAACTTTCTTTCTTATTTATTTAGAATTTTCTTGCAGTGCAATTAGGAACAGAGTCTACGACTAGGCAGGAGAATCCCTGACTCGCCCTGTGGTGGAGATGATCTGTCTGGTGCTGAAAATGTCTCCGGTGTTCTGACCGCGGTCAGCAGCCATGGAGTCCAGCAGCCTCGGGAAAGCAGCCACGTTAGATGAACTGCTGGGCACTTGCATTGAGATGTTTGGTAGGAGTCTTTTTTTCTCTTGTCGTTGCTTTCGTCTATTTTGATTCTATTGTTTCCCTCACATAGGACACACAGGTCATTTGTGGAACAGAATTCAGGGTCTGCACTATGATATTTGAGGTCTTTTGGATTAACTCCATTGCCCCTCGGTTCACTGTCCTATTGACTGCCCACAGCTTGTGCTCCAGCCAAACTGTCTACTTAATATTTCTGGACCATTCCCTTTCCCCCTCTCCTTTCTATTTCCATGCTTTTAAAATATAATCTCTTTGAAATTCTGCTTCTGGGCTCATCTCAGTTGTCATCTCCGATGTCCTAATGCCATTTCTACTGGCCCCATCAGAAATGCTGGTGGATTTTTCCACTGTCTCCCATCCCACTATAATTTTCTTATGGCACAGAGTCTGAACTGCTGTGATCATTGCTTGGTATTTTGACATTTACAGTATGGCTGGCACAATATTCTGCTTTCCATATTGCATACATCATGTAAGTCTTACTAAATGATAGGCTTTACAGCCATATGCTTCTTTACTTTGTTTTTATATTTTTTATATTGTTATGTATCTATTGTTTATGTATCCACCGCAACATGGGATTATTCTTGCAAAAATAGTCACGTGAGACTTGCTTATTTAATTGCCTACCATAGGAATCTGAGCAGAGCAGGTTTATCAGACAAAATACAGGATGATCAGTTAAGTTTCAGTGTCTGGTAATCTACATTCTTTGTGAATATCCTAAACAATGATTGGAACATGCTTATACTGAAAAATCCATTACTGTTTGCTCTAAATTAAGTTTACCTGAATATTCTGTATTTTTATGGTTAAATCTGTCAACTGAAAACCAAGAGCGTCACCCAGGTTAACTTGCAAGGAAATACAGAAATAGAAAGTGAACAATAATTGGGTTTATGAAGAAGTTTGAACACTATTATTTTTCTAGTGACATTAGAAAAAGAGCAAACTAATACTGTTATCTTTTTACCCCTTATTTTGTTTTTAACAGATGACAATGGCGAGCTGAATAATAGTTATTTGCCACGAATTGTTCTCCTGATGCACCGATGGTATTTATCTTCCACTGAATTGGCTGAAAAACTTCTCTACATATATCTTTTCAACAATTGTGTAATTTTGCAATAATAAATCAAGTTCTGTATTTAGATAAAAGTCTGTTCTAAACCCGTAAATTAAGATGAATAAACAGGCTTCAGTCTGTTGTCCAGCAATTTTGAGAAAACATAGCTGTTTAGATGAAATATCTGGGTGATAGACCAAACAGTTGACCATCCACTGGTCTGGAAAATAGTTACTAAGACATGAAATGAAAAAGAAGCCATAGCTGTGTGTTACTAACTTGTCTTAAACATTCTGACTATTATGACAGTGAATGAATGTTTAGCGCTGATTCAAGACCTGATTTATTTCCCCTATGATGACAAAATCCTGGGTGTAGAGGACACAGCTCAGAAATATGGAGATGCCAGTCAAAATAATTTTTTCTGGCTTAGGTACAACCGTCAACTTAGATTTCACGTTATCGCTTGCTGGCAGGATCCCGTGAACATTTTAGTACGTTTATTGAAATTTGTGGTTTGATACTAATTTTAGATTTTCTTCTGAAATAAAAACAAACCACAAAAATCCACATAGAACCGAAGATGTAAACTTGGTGTAGAGTACTGGCTTAGCATGGGCAAGGCCTGGGTTTCATCCCAAGCACTTAAAAAGTGCTTTCAGCAACCACCACTTTGCTACATAATGCAGTCCTGAAAAGCATTGTCAAGTGATATAGCTGGTAATACAGTCCACATTTCCAAGGAGGTTTTATTCCCTGATATTTCATATTTGCTGTGTAGTCTGTAATGTTGGTTCCTGCAGTGTCTGCTTTACTCAAGCCCAGAGGACCTAGAGATGAGTGGGGGGCACCTGAGAAGCAGAGGGCTCAGTGAGGATTGTTGGGACCTGCCAGGGCTGCTGGAATGAACAGGAATTCCATCTGTTAAGCCCAAGCCTCTCCACTTCCTATGTCTCCCTCCACCTGCCTGCCCACAATCTCAGTGCAGAGCAGAATGTTAGAGAGGATAAAGATGTAATTGCTGTAAACCAAAATCCTTGGAAATGAGCAAGCTCCTAGTCCTCAAGAACCCAAGGATTCCTCATTACTTGGTTTATGCTGTGCCTGCCATGTAGTAGGAGCTCCATTTTGTTTAAAAAACTATCAATAAGCTAGTCAGGGATTAATCCCCGCACTTGGGAGGCTAAGGCAGGAGAACTGCCAGGAGTTCAAGGCCAGCCTGAAAAACAGCAAGACCATATCTCAAAAAAATTGATAGACTTAAGAATAAATAACATAACCCATATAGTTATATACCTAAAAGTGATATTTTCAGATAATGAAGAAATTAAAATGCTTAATAAGACACTAAACCCTAAACTTAAAATCTTCTTGGCTAAAAGAGTGCTTTTATGTATTATCAATTCTAATTATTTATATTTGGCAGTATATTTGTAATGGTAGCTGGCAGTTACTGGTTGGTCAGTGGCTTCTCTTCCAGACCAAAAATACATCCTAGACATTAACAAATCAGGTTTTAACCACTCAGTATTGACTTAATCAAAGCCGATTTCTTTCCTCATTTAAGGGGCTACATATACATGTTGACTATCTCTTACCCGAAGGGCTTAGGACCAGAGTGTTTCAGATTTGGGATTTTTAAAAAAGTTTTAGAATACACCAGGTATGGTAGTTGACACCTGTAATCCCAGTATTTGGGAGGCTAAAGGAGGGGATTGCCATGAGTTTGAGGCCAGTGTGGACTTGCAGTTTGGACTACATAGCAAGACCTTGTGTCAACAAACGAACAAAAATCTGGGCCTGGTGGTGCATGCCTGCAATTCCAGCACCAGGAGGCTGAGGCAGGAGAATCGATGCAAGTTCAAGGCCAGCCTGGGCTACAAAGTGAGTTCAGGGATAACCCGAACTGCCATCATGAAAAAAAAAAAAACCACAAAAACAAAAAGACCAAAAAATGTAGAATATTTGCAGGTATGTATTAAGAAATCTTAAGGATGGGACCCAAGTCCAGACAAAAATTCATTTATATTCCATATGTAAGTTGTGCATGTGGTCTGAAGGTAATTTATATGATATTTTTGGTGCACATGCATTCTAAGTCTGATCTGTCACATAAGGTCAGGTGTGGAATTTTCTACTCACAGCCCTGTCAGTGCTCAAAAAGTTTCAGAATTTAGATCATTTTGGATTTTGGATTTTAGGATTAGAGAACATCAGCCGACAACCCAAATGTCCCGAGTGTGATCCCCACCCCTTGCTAGGAAGCTGTGAGTTGAAGAAACAGCTGTGGGTGTGCAAAGACAACAAGGTACAGCAACTTTTTCTTTAACTAGAGCACGTACCAAAATGCCAGTGGAGAGAGCTGCGATGAGTTTCGATTAAAGATCTGCTATTTCATAAGGTAAATATATATGTAGGGGTCTAATTTCTTTGTAGTTTCTGTTTCTGGGGTTGTTAACAATTTCCTTTTTCTCTAAGCGGTAGACCTAGTTTCATAATAGAATCTACTCAAATATGCCCCCTCCCCACACTGCTTTCTGCCTATTAAAAATGGCCCTTCTTTTTTCTTGGGGGTAGCAGGGTACTATTTACCTTGTAGACTATAGGTCAAAAGTGGTGAATACAATTAGGGAATGGAACCAGATTTTATGGAGGACGAAGTCAAGTTTTTAAACCTCCTCATCACTTACATTCTCCCTAACATGCTGAGAACTGGGGGAAGGATTTCTTCTTAGCTGTCATTCTACAGAGAGTCAGAAGCTCAGAGCTGGAGTGCTGGATTCTGGTCCTTGACTGAAGGAGAGTGGAGAGTCTGCAATGATGGTTGGGCATGGGAGATGGCTAATTAGATTCTGCATGAAAAGTAGTCTATAAAATGGTACAATAGTTCATACAATGGTTCCATAGAAGCCCACTTTGAAGTCTTCAGCTGTCAAATGTGCTGTATTTCTTTCAGGTACTGGATTCTGAAGTTTCCTGCAGAGTTTAATTTGGATCTTGGTTTGATTCGCATGATTGAGGAATTCCGGGAAGTAGCTAGTCAATTGGGATACGAAAAACACGTCAGTCTCATCGACATATCCAGCATGTAAGCTGACACAAACATCTTTCACACTTGATGAGTCTACAGCTCTGAGGCAGGATTAATCACTTGACCCCAATCTGTATAGGTCCAGAGTTCATTGAGAACAGCCTTGCTGTGGGGAACACAGACATTACTGGTTACAACTGTACTCTCCAAGCTACAATTTCTTTGTAAAATGGAAAAGTGGATTTCTCATGGGCTTATGATAAGCTTCCCAAAAGCACATAAAATAGCATGTGAAAGCATTTGGCACATAATAGATTCCCAGTATTTAGTTACTGAAATCTGCATTTAGTTGATACCTCCTACCCCTTGGTTACTTAATGTGTGGTCTTCAGATCAGCAACATTGGCATCTTTGTAGTGTTCATTGGAAATGAAAAATCCTGGGCTACACCTGCAGAACTGAAATCTACACTTTCTTTTTTTCTGACACAGGGGATTGAATCCAGGGCCTTCCTACTGAGCTACATCCCGAGCCTCTTTATTATTTTTTTATTTTTTTAATTTTTAGGCAGGGTCTTACTAAATTGTCCAGGCTGGGCTTGAATTTACAATCTTGCCTCAGCCTCCTAGGGTGCTGGGATTACAGGCATGCACCACCATGCCTGGCTGGAATCTGCATGTTAATAAAGATCCCCAGGTGATTTATATACTTATTCAGTGCTGAGAAACCCTGTACCACGGTGCTTCTAAGGTTGCCTGAGGTTATACAAATGTTGACTATAGTGGTTTGTTCATTTATAAAAGAACTTAGTGATAGGTTTATTTCATATGGTCTAGGTAACTTCACACAGAGAAAATTATTTCAAGAGCCTATGTGTGATTATTCATCTTGCAAATAGATGTTCTTTTGTCTTAGGCATTCTTACCATATTCTCTTTATGTGAAATACTTACTCAACAGTGACTAATCAAGGAATCATCAGGGATGTTTGTTTAAAGTATATATCATTCAGGTTCATTCCTAGTAAATCAGAATGTCTGGCACTGAGATCCAAAAATATCTTTGTAACATATTTTTTCCCGGATAATTTATATTATGCCAAAGTATGAGAACCACAGCATAGCTTTCGGTGGTTTCTATACACCTTAAATCACCATCTGTAAGCTGCTGAACTTCCAATTTTATGTACCTATCCCTGACCTCTCTCTTATGATCCAGATCTTGCTCGGTCATAAGGGACAAAAACCAAAGACTCTGGATGGGTTAGAGCAAAGCTCCTCTGTCTGGAAAAACAACTCAGAGTTTATGTTCTGTTGGCAACGGGTCAGTGGTGTTCTCTTCATATACAAAGGACGGGGTGTGTATTTTGCATAAGCTCTTGGAAGCAGGCCAAGTGTTACAGAGTCCGTAGGTTAATGACATCCACCCAGTGAAATGGGTTTCAGCACACTGACCAGGGTCATTTTTCTTTTCCAGTCCTTCCTACGACTGGATGAGAAGAGTCACACAGAGGAAGAGAGTATCCAAGAAGGGCAAGGCCTGTCTGCTGTTTGACCATCTGGAGCCCATTGAATTGGCAGAGCACCTCACTTTTCTGGAGCATAAATCTTTTAGAAGGATCTCAGTAAGGAACTTGACATTTACTCTTCCAAGGATTAACAAGCACCATGCCAACTTTCCCAAGAGCCACATTTTCATCCTCTGAAGTGTTGGCAGCCACTGTCACTGGGCTCTGCTGGAAAAGTGCCCTGAATTCACAGAAACAATCCCTTTTAACCAAAGATAAACATGATCCTGTCTTTATTTTATGGCGCTGGAGCTATGTTTCTGTCAGTATTTTCAATGTCTCCTTTCATAGGATTAAAGCATGGTTTTTCTCAATGCTCAGTGGAGTTTTAACCATTCAAAAGTTTCTTAGTGCCATTGACTTCTCCCAAGTGAACATACTCTACCAGGTCCTTTATTGGGAGGAAAATATTTAAATTGAGATTTGTATAAATACTTAGTTATGGGTACAGGTAGAAAATAGAAATTCTCTGTTTCAAGGAGAATCTTACCATCAGACTTTCTTTCCCAGTGATACAGAGCCTGAATTAATGTTTGTTTCCTGCTCACGTTGGTAGGGGGCTTTGTTCCTTCTCTGTATCTTCTTTCTTCCTTGACTGTGGTCTAGATCTTAGTTGCCTTCCTTGATATCTACTTGTTCTGATAATCTTTCTGCACTGATTGATAATCAGATATTTGCTCTGCTTTGTTTCATCAAGCTCTGGGGGAGTCTCTTCTCTTCCATTTTCAAGGAACCAAAAACCAATTTATACTATTGCTTGCAAAGAACACCAACTTGATTAGACGAAGCATGAATTTCTAAGGGTGGTCTTTCACGAAGCAACTCTGCTTGGAGACAACTTTAATGATTTTCCAAAGCAGAGAATGGGAGGAAATCATCACATATGACAGATCATATTTATTTCAAGATCTCCATGCTAAACTTTCTGAGAATATGTACATTCTGCTAGAGGTGCTTTCCTTTCTGATACCTTCCTTACCTCATTTCTTGTCTTGAAACAATTTAACGAAATGCTTCTGATTTGAAGTTGTTATATTTATATTCTTTCATTTCTTGTTCTTTAGTGTATATCATTATATCTCAAGCTTTTTTGATCATTGGAATCACTAGTAGTATATTAAGATGAAGATTCTTAGAGATATTAATCACTTATGTCCTGGGTGTTTGCTGGAACCAGCATTTTGACAAATGACCAAAGTGGATCTTATGATTCAGTAAATTTGCGATGCTCTGAAATATGACCTTCAATCTGACCCTTTTCTTCCTCCCCCCAGCACTGTGATAATGTGTGTTTGTGTGTATATAGGAGTGGTATTGGAAATGCAGCAAAATAGCCTGTTAAAGGTGCCTATACATTTAACCTGTAGGATATCACTATAAATGGAATAAAAAACATGTTGTTATAAAGCACTGTTTGTTCTATGCAACATTCTAATTTCTGACTTTGCAAAAGCTCCATTATAATTCAGAATCTCTGAATCTTCCTTTACTAGTTTACTGATTATCAAAGCTATGTCATCCATGGCTGCTTGGAGAATAACCCAACCTTGGAGAGATCTATTGCTTTATTTAATGGAATCTCTAAGTGGGTCCAATTGATGGTTCTCAGCAAACCAAGCCCCCAGCAAAGGGCAGAAGTTATCACAAAGTTTATCAATGTTGCAAAGGTATGTCTGGTAATTAAACTGGGGTTCTTGGATTCTGGATATTCTTTCCATGTATTGAGAAAAAGTCTTTGAGGAAATTTGGTGCTTGCAGTATAAGGATCATGAATTATTAAACTACTCATGGATAATGCGTGAACAAATCATACTTTTCTTATGCAAAAAAGATTGGTTTTGAAAAGTAATACTTGGCTTTTCTGTCAAAGAATTGATATATTTTTCTAACGGGTCCTACTTGCACTTCATTTTAAGTCAATATGATATTTTACTGTGTTTCTGTTATTTAAATTATGGATGGATTTACCTGTGCCTCAGAAAGTTAAGAAAAATTTAAAATTTCCTACAAATTATTAATGTTAACATTTTTGTTGCAGAAGCTCCTTCAGCTCAAAAATTTTAACACCCTGATGGCGGTGGTGGGAGGCCTTAGCCACAGTTCAATTTCACGCCTCAAAGAGACCCATTCCTACCTTTCTTCAGAGGTGACAAAGGTATAGTGGATTTTGATCTTAACTGTAAATAAACACTTGCAAACTGGTTAGGTATAGTATACCCTCAACAGATATCACTCAGAATGGAAAAGCTTTCCTCTCAAACCAATCATAGGCTGCCCCTGGGGAACAGAATGGGAAGGGAACAGCCACACTAGCTGAGTCCACCTGGAAAAGCAAGTCAGAAGTGATGCCCAGTGTTCTGACGAGAATCCTTTCACATGTCATTAACATACTGCAGTTGTGAATTGTCAACAAGTACTTATTTGGTGCTTACTATGTGGTAGGCACATAGAATACCAGACAAATTGTCAGAAGTCACTCTGACTCTATCTTCCTGGAAATAGAGTCATTGGATGGCCACTCTATTTATAACTCTGTGCTTGATACAGCAGAGGATACAAAGGAAGGGGAAGACATGGGTCTTGTATAGTGCTACTCAGCTTTATAGCTGAGTTGTTAGAAATACATATAGTTTTCTGCCATATTTCTTTCTAGACCACATTCATAATTTTTCCCTTATTGAGCAAAAAGGAGCATTTTATCCTTATGAAGTATTCCTTTATAAGGCTGTACTTTGATGTATTGATAAGGACATGTTCAGCTTTAAGTTAAAAAACAAAGAAAAAATATAAATTGACTAAATAATAAGGAAATCTATTTTGTAACATACCTGGAAGTCCAGAGGCAGAGGGTTTAGGTATAGTTTGATCAGAGGCCTAGCTCAGTTCCTCTGCCTTCTCAGGATTTTACGTGGTTTTGTTTTGGGTTTGTTTGCTTCTTCCTGACTGGGCTGTGTGTAACAATGACAAAATCATACCCTCTTGTTCATGAAAGCTGGAGATAGGCAAGGTTTTTGGCTTCATCCCTATCCTCGTAAGATTAAAGAACTTCTTTTCAGACAGATTGAGCCATCTCAAGTCCCATGTGTAGACCAGTGACAATTTTCAGAGAGGTACAGTGTACTGACTGGTTTGATCTTGTTTTGCTGAACCAATCACAAACCAGAGGGATGGAGTTTCTGTAAATGGCAAATCAGAACTCATTCTTGGTCATGTGGATAGAAACAGCTCTAAGAGCTATTTGGGGAAGAGAAGACTGATCAAAATTGGGGTCTATCAGGAAGATCTGGTTGCTGTTAAACAACCACCAATGGCTTCTCTATATAAAAAAGAGAAAGTAAACACAGAAGTACCATTGTTTGATCTCCAATTTTGCAGTCATTCCAAGCACAATGGGACATATTATGTGTTTTGTTTCTTTTAACTTTGTACTACATTCCAATTAAAAAGCAAAACAAATTTAAATGTTGTAAAGAATAGGATTCTGACAGGGGCTCATAGAAACTTGGAATTACCAATGTGTCTTTCAAACTTATTTATTTGAACTATTTTTTCTTATGTAAAAAGGAAATTAAGATCCAGAAACTGATTTTGCTCAACCTCACCCATCTAGTTAGAGCAGAGTCCAAAAACTACAGCTGCCTCACATTTGAATGCAACTTTCCCCACTCTATAACATCACAGTGCCCCAGATTCACCTTCAGTTAGTATATGGAATGAAACTTTCTTGGGACAACTAGACATTTTAATATGTCATATGCTTAAAGCTGTGGACTGTAATATTTTCACAAATTACAAAACACTAAGTATACATGGTACCTTAACATCTCAGTATCACTAGTACATAGAGGAGCAAGCTATTTCTGATTTGTAGCAGAGTCGTGCATTTTTCTAACTTTCTTTTTCTTGGTTAATATTTCCCTGCATCAATGTTGGTGCAATTGATACTTCTCTCAGTAGCTGAGGAATTTGCTAGCCACACATTGCAGGACCTAGGAGATGGGTAGAAGAGAAGACTGTTTGAACATTCTACTTTTCCATCTGTTCCCAGAACTGGAATGAAATGACAGAATTGGTCTCCTCCAATGGTAATTATGGCAGTTACCGCAAGGCCTTTGCCGACTGTGATGGTTTCAAGATCCCCATCCTTGGAGTACACTTGAAAGACTTGATAGCGGTCCATGTCATTTTCCCGGACTGGATGGAGGAGAACAAAGTGAACATTGTGAAAATGCACCAGCTCTCTGTTACCCTGAGTGAACTGGTCGCCCTGCAGAACGCCTCTCACCACTTAGAGCCCAACATGGATTTGATCAACCTGCTCACTGTGAGTTCCAGGGGCTTACATTTGTGTTAAATAACCCTTCTGCACCTCACCTTCTAGGGAACATGAAGGTGAGATGCGTGCCAGCCATTCACTTGGAGGGAAAATTTGACTTCTGGGGCTGGAAATGAGTAGAAATCTCAAAAGATGAGGGAAACCCTACACCTCTAACCAGCAGGACTTGAGACTATACTCTTGGCGCAAATCGGGTTCCTTTTGTGTGAGAGGCCCAGTCTCTGCCCATGCACCACCCTCCTTCTGAAGTTCCTAATGAGTTTCCTCAACGGACCTCAACTCCTCACTCTGCCTCAGCACACTCAGCCACCCAGACACGTCCTTCTGCATGTGCTCCAAACCTTGCTTCTCTGTAACCTCATTACACGGCTTTCACCAGAGCCCGCAGTGATGCACAGAGCTCCTCTGTGACCTGCTGTGCCCCCCACTGACCTGCCCAAGCCTCCAGCCTCTACCCAGCCTCGCATTTGAAGACCTTCATTGCAGCCTTGTTTGCCCTCATCCTCTCCCGACCACACCACCTTTTGAGAAATGTTGGGCTTCATGTATTTCTACCATGAAATGCTGCCTGCCACTTCCTGGGATTCATATGTCCTTATAAAATCCTTTCCTTCTCCACCCAGATAGCTGGTTCAAATTCAGAAGTCTCCTTTTAGAGCATTCTCTGTTTCCTCTGAAAAAGGAATGTGTTGGCCTTGGACTCTGTACTCTCTTTACTGCAGGAGATATCGCTTTCCCATTGTAGTTTTTCTGTTTATATGCCTGGTACATCACATGCCTGGCACTTTCCACAGCATCCAGTGCATTAGGACCTCAATAAGGTCTTTTAGGAGTGAGGCCAGACAGACAAAAGAACTTCATCTACCGCTCGTGTTTGTTGGCATTCCTGGCACACTTGTTTAGCTGGTCTTCAGGTTCTAGAACTTTTAGAAACAGCAGGTATATGAAGGGGAACATATCCCTTGGTTTATTCTATGGAGGGAAAAAGAAGCACTAACCACATCCACTCACTCTTGCTTAAACAAAGGATATACTATATCCCTATTTGGGTTTGTAACACTGTGGCCCCGAAACTTGACTATGATATTGAATTGATTATTTTCATTTTGTGTCTATAGAGAATAAATTGTCCGTAAGCTCTGACAGCCAAGTCACCTGGGGCTGTTGCATTGGAATAGGAGTGTGGTTCTGGCAATTCCACTGTGCCTAGACAGTGGAATTTTTTACCAAAGAAGAGGCTCTTGGTGTAAGAAATAACGCTCACTGCACTGTTTTCTTAAAGCACAGGTGTGTAACACACACACACAAAACAAATCTTTTGGGGCTGAGTTTGTGTAACAAACAGAAAACACATATATTCTCTAACTGGTGGGGGGGAACCAACACACAGCACTCCAAGCACCTGCATTTATTAATCATTTGCTATGTAAATCTGTTTCCATGAATAGGTGACCAGAGTGTCAGTCCCAATTACACTGCAAACCACAGGCACAGGTGATGTCTGAAGACCAGTCCCAAGGCGTGCCTTGGTTTCAAGTGTCTGTGTCAGGGCTGGGTCCTGATGTCAAGCATAGCTTCACGGAGCAGGTGCCTACATCTGGGCAAAGCCCGATCCAAAGGAAAGACTATAACGGAGCAGGAAAGTTAATTTTGTATTATAAATGCATCAAGTGTCATTATGAAAAAAATCAGATATGTAGAGAGGTACTGAGAATTGTGAATCAAATTTCAGGGGTATAAATGGAAAACTTAAAATCCAGAAATAAAATCAGAGACCCCTCCCCTCTTTTTGAGACAAGTTCTTGCTAGTTGAATTCAGTATGTAGCCCAGAATGTCCTCAAACTCTCATTAGCCTCTCAGTGCTAGGACCAAGGCCATGCACCACCATGGCCTGCCCCAGTTTCTTTTGAGGAAAAAAAGCAAAAAGAAAAAGGGATGCCAGAATCCCAATTCCTTTCTTCTGTCTCTTGGAGATACTGATAATTTTACATATTTGTGATGCATAGTTGATTACCTTCCTCTTGGGGTTTGATTCATACGCATACTGCATCTTGATCATTCTTCTTTCAGGTCCTCCCACCTTCCCCTCTCCCTCCTTCCCCAGAACCCCTGCCCATCACTACAGAATGTACCTATCTGTTTTTTAACCTGGCTCTTTTATTTTGCTTGTAAATTATATATATTTTAAGTCTTTCAGATTCAAGAAACTATATAGGATTTAACCTTTTGTGACTGATAATTCACTTAGTAAAGTGGCCTTAAGGGCCTTTTAGTTTCCTCCAAATGGCTCAACTTTATCCTTCTTTATGACTGAGTAGTACTCTACTGTATAACACCGTATTTTCTTTATTCATGAATCTGTTGGTGTGCATATAAGCCTCTTCTGTGATTTAGCTATTTTGAGTTATGTTGCTGTGAACATGGATATGCATGTATATTAGGACTTGAGCTCTTCACAAAGATCCCTAGGAAAGGAATTTCTGTTTTTAATTTTTTGAGGAATCCCCATGCTGATTACCGTACTGGTATACTAATTTATATTCTCACCAGCAAAAGTAGAAGGGTTATTTTTTTCCCCACATCCTCCCCAGCATTTGGGCTGACCTTGAACTCATGACAGTCCTCCTAGCTCAGCCTCCTAACTGCTGGGGTTACAGCAATAGTTGCTTTTGAGTCCTTGACAATGGTCATTCCTACTGGAGTAAGGTGAATCTCATTTTGATTTGCATTTCTCTAATGGCCAAAAATGCTGAATATTTTTTCATGTATTTATTGGTCATTTGTATTTCTTTCTGTGAAAACTGTCTATTCATTTAAGTTGCCAAGTGTTTTTTATTTTGAAGTGTCTAATTTTTTGAGTTCTTTATCTATCTAGATATTAGTCCTCTGTCTGAGATGTAGCTGATAATTTTTTTTTCCTATTCTGTAGGTTGTCTTTTCACTATGTTGATGTCCTTTATTGTGCAGAAGCTTTTTAATTTGATGTGGTTCCATTGCTGATTCTTGGTATAATTTTTTGCTAAGCCCCAAAGCACAAGGCTGCCTTTCACACTGTCATGGCCCAGTCCTAAATGGATGGTGTTGCTTCTAGCCCTGCCTCTGAAGTTATTCAGCTTTGCTAACTAGCAGTGGCCTTTGGCTTTTTCATAAGGGCTCTGTGCTCATTTGGGAGGTGTCTCCTGGTGCCAAACTGCTGTGACTCTAGAAATAAGGATTCGTGGAACTCTGAAAACAAGTCAATGGCTCTTGAGGACAGCACTATCCTGCACATGAATAACGGGGCATCAAGTCGATTGCTCCTGCAAGCCGAGATCCTTCCTCTCTCCTCCCTGAGGAGGAGCTTAGTGCACAGGGAGAAGCTCCCATTCTTTTCTGCCCTAGGGAGCTCACTCCTCACTGCGAGGACTGAGACATCCACTACATGGTCCTCATCTATTCCTCATTGTCCAGTGACCATTTCTTGAAATGTGTGCATATTCAGATTAGAACCACGTGGTGAACCATAGTTGCCCAAATGCCCAAGAGCAGATCTGTGAGGTCCCAAGACTCCAAGTCAAAGGTTCGCCTCAAGTAATTGTTTTCATCTGACCTTGCCCCGAGGTACCATAACCAATATATGACTGAGAGACCTGAAGGATAGAAAATGAGAACTCTTAAGTTGAACATCAATTATTAAGGGCTACTCTGCAGTAGGCTGTCTAGCTAAGCTTGAGTTTTCTTTAATAACTGTTGCTGGGCATGGTGGCACATGCCTGTAATTCCAATACTTTAGGAAGCTGAAGAAGAGAGGGAGGAATAGGAGGTGTTTGTGAACTCACAATTCCTTTTAAGGGTGTGTTCCAGTGCTCCAGGGATCACCCCAGCCTTAGAGTTTCCATGATGTCACAACAGCACACTTGGGCCTTTGGGGGGACATTGGGGATTCAAACTGGCTGAGGGTGGTGGTGCACATCAGTAATCCCAGCACTCTAGGAGTCTGAGGCAGGAGGATTGCAAGGTCATGGGCAATTTTGTGACTTAGCAAGACCTTGTGAACATTTTATTTCCAATGTAGGCATATCACTAACATCTAACTCACGTTATTTTATATCTGTGAAAAATAATACCCCTTTACCTGTTGCCTCACATGGTGATACCTGTAATTGCAACACTCTGGGATGCTGAAGCAGGAGGATTGCAAGCCTGAGCCCAATCTGAGCAAGTTAGCAAGTTAGTAAGACCCTGTCTCAAAATAAAAAATAAACGACTGGGAATACAGCTCAGCATGAAGACCTGAGCTCAGTCCCCAGTGCCACAGTGATGATAACAGTAAGACCTCTTGCAACCCTGCTTCCTGGGTGTGTAGTGGAAGAATTAGGGGACCAGATTTAAGAGGGCAGGACCATACCACCTTTATCATTGTGTCCTTGGTCCTCTGAAAGCACAGGGTATGAGACGCCGGAGGACCACACCCCAGGGTGTCGGACTTGGGTAGTTCCTTCTTTCAGGGACCATCTGGAACCAGGAGCTCTGAAAACCGATGCTTCTGTTTCATGATATACAAAACAGTATAATTCTTTTCAGAGTATTTTTAACCCGATCCGTTACTTTTACTGCTCTGAGTATATGCAAATAACTGGAAAGCCCCTGTATTTTTAGTCTCATTTTTTAAAAAAAGAGAGAAGAGAAGTTGCAAAAATAATGAGTGGAGGGAATTTGATGCCTGAGCATATTTTATTGTACAATAAACATTTTGGCCAAAGGGAATCCTACCACGAAGACTAAATCTGGAACCTTCTATACTGAAAGGATTGCCAGTCAATGTAACCACCATGGTCTGAGACAGTGGACCAGAACATTTTCAGAAGTATCTAGAATCAGCAAATATGTTTGAACCACATTAAAGCCTGTTCCAGTATTCAAAGTGCATGTAGAACATGGAACAGGCCACTCTTTGGGTAGGTTCTTGAGTCCAAAGGTCTGAGGCAGGAGGTAGGGTTGTGGGTGGCAAAGCAGGAGGGTAGTGGGACCCCCAAATGCAGCTTCTATGCATACATAAGCAGCCTGGCATGGCCTTCAAATGCTACACTGACTGAAAACAAACCCTGCAACTGTGACCTTGTAAGCAACCTAATTGGACACACATTTAGTTCATGTATTCATTTAACCCTTATCACAGCCGTGGGAGGCAGCTATGATTAATAATTCCCATTTTACAGGTCAGGAGACTGAAACTCAGGGAAGTTAACTGCTTGTCCAGATTCACACCACTACTAAGAAGAAAACAAACCAATGAAGTTAAAAACGTTTCCGTTTCTAGGCATCCCCTGCCCAGTTGACATGGAAAATACCCAAGAGGGCTTTGGGTCTTTTATGAGAGCATCTCCTGACTTGGTGTGAAGCTTGTCTGGGCTTCTGGTTGGATGTCATGGTGCTTCTGTCATCTCATCAGCAGATGCAGCTGTCACACAGTCACCCAGGACTTGGAGGCTGAGTCAGGAAGCAAGGATTGTGCTCCTTGAGGTCGAGATTAACACCTGATAGCAGGAGCTTTGAAGAGAGAAGTCACTTATGTTTTCTCTTTGTTTATGTAACCCTTAAACTGTAAGCCTACAGGCTGGAATGAGGGCTCAGGAGTGGGGAAGACCTCTGTGAGGCTTCAAACTCAGCAGAGGTATCTTTTGGGGAAGCCAACCAATGGTGGGTAACTACGTAGGGAAAATACGTGTTATTCTACCCGTGTGGAATTCTAAGAATTGTCAGTTGTGCTAGTGTTTAAACATTGTGCTACTGCATATGAAACTCCAGATTTCTGACTTGACAAAGTAGATTTTGGCAATTCTATATCATTTGTCAGTCTGACAACAGTTTGTCACCTTAGGGGATTTAGCTCAGTGGCATAAGCTCCTGCCTGGCAAGCATGGGGTTGTGAGTTTGACCCCTGCTACTGCAAAAAAAAAAAAAAAAAAAGCAAATGATTTGTCACTTTAATAGTGGCTCTCACAGATCATCACTCTCCCAGGGGCTTTTCTAACAGAGAATGCGTGTCAGATCCCATTTCTTCACAAATTTCCCTTACTATGGAGCTAGGAGGAAAGATCTATCAGTTAATTATACTCACATACTCTTTCTTCCAAATGATACCTTGTAGTAGTACCATTGTAGTATCTCTACTAAAACATTCCTTTAGTGTTGAGCTTTGTAACACACACTTGTAATCCCAGCTACTTGGGAGACTGAGGCCGTAGGATCATAAATTCAAGTTCAACTTGGGCAACTTAGTGGGAAAAACTGAGTTTGAGCTATCCCTGTCTCAAAATAAAAAGGACTAGGGATTTCTGTAGCATTTGGAGTGGGCTGACTAACCTCACATGTGAAGTGTTTGCTGTGGACACACCTTTTTGTGTTTTAAGTCTTCCTTACCCAAATAAACTACCAAGCTCTTCAGGGCAGAAAACAATTTTACAGTATTTTGTATCACCAGGACTTAATGCGGTGCTCTGGTGTTCTAAAATAATAGAAATTGTTTTTTCTTTACTTCCACAGTTCTTTAATCTAACCTCAAAGGCAGCATTTATTACATGTAATTCCTCCTCTATGCAGCTGGCCTTGCCTTGAGCCTGAAAAATCTCAAGCGTTCTTTGTTGCTCAGAATTTAGTACTTAGGGGCATGGTGGCACACAGCTGTACTCGCAGCACTAGGGAGGTTGAGGCAGGAAGATCTCTATGAGGTGAGTTCAAGGCCAGCCTGGGCTATGCAGTGAGACCCTGTTTGAAAAGGAAAGAAAGAACTTAGCACGAGGAGCTGCTCTATAAATGCTGGGAAGAACTGAGTGCTGGTTCTTAGCGATGCTAATGCTCACAGCAGGATCTTCTTTTTCTTTGTACATTTCCTTTTCTACCTCTGTGTTCCATGTTTTTATTGTTCTGCGTTTGCTTGAATTATTGAATATTGGATTTAAATGTTGAATTTGAAACACATTTCAGCAATGGAAATAGAAAAGCATGATCCAACACAATTATTTATCCTTTTTATTTTCATCGTAGCTCTCTCTGGACCTCTATCACACAGAAGATGATATTTATAAACTGTCGCTGGTGCTGGAGCCTAGAAATTCTAAATCGGTGGGTATTGTTTTTTCTCTAAGGATCAGTTCTAAACGCTGTTATTTTTCTCTTATAGTAAGAAGTGGTTACAATGGTATTTTGTGTTCTAAAGATTGAAGATTGAATGTAGATTTTAAAAAAATCTGTATTATTCCCACTTTATCAATGGAACAGCTTAAATTTTGACAGCTTTGACAGAGAATTATTTCTTTGTATAAGACAGTAATAAAAAGAACATTATTTCCATTACTGTTTCATTTTTGGACTGCAATTTCTTGTATCCTCTGTAACACAACTACATACAGACCTCCCCCTAAAAAAGAATTATCTTAAAGATGAGTTATAATTTTCCAGACTTTGTAAACACACACACACACACACACACACACACACACACACACTGCTCAACATAAAATTAGATTTACTGAATTTCAAATAATCTGATTATAATTTACAAATCAAATCTTTTAGTGTTTAACTTCGCTTAGAATGTCAATGACACACTGGATAGTGTCTCATTTAACTGATGGCCGATTGACACAATACATGGCTGTCGTAAATGTATGGCTAAATTTTAGATGTTTTGCTCTAACTTATGGAAATGCCTGGGCTCGGGAGGATGGTGCATGCCTGTCAACCACACTCTGGGAGCCTGAGGCTGGACGATTACATGTTTAAGCCCGGTCCGGGCAACTTAGTGACTTAGGGAGACTCTGTCTCAAAAACTATAAAAAGGGTTGGGGATGTGGCTTAGTGTGAAGCCATCGGTTCAATATCCAGCACTATACAGGGAAGGGGGGAAAAAGGATAAGAAAGAAGGATAGAAAAAAGAAACCTGAGTGAATTTAAAATTCACAATGAAAGTATGATTTGCATGTTGACGGGAAAAATAAAAATGTCTGTCTGCTCCTGCAAAATCAGTTTTCTTGCAAAGCTCTGAGGCACTGAGTCCTCGCCTGTTGCACGGTGCAGCTTTCTGGCAGCAGCTTCAGCCCCAGTCTATTAATACCTCCCGCGCTTCTGCGCCTGGGGCTGAAGCAGCAGGGCACTGGGCGGGTTCTCTGGCCGCCTGTGGCGTGCACCACGGCGTCTCAGCTCCTGGGGTGAACCAGAGGGTGGCTGGCTCCACCCATGGGTCCCCACCACCTCCCCAGGGACCGTGCACAGCAGAGCCCCTGGGGCAGGCGCGGCTCAGCAAAGTTTGGCTTCTCTGGACTATTCAAATTAGCATGACCAAGAGAGACCTAGAAAGCAAGCCAAAGCTATGGGGAAAGGGCTTTTGTGACACCCACCCGGCCCCAGCGCTGTGCGTGAAGTGGCACTGCGCATGCGCGCGCAGGTCCCCCCCCCCCCCCCCCCGTCTCGACCGGCGAGGTGATTGTTGGGGTCACCTGGCCTGGCCAGACCTGTACCGCTGACCTGTTGTCCCAGGAGCGCGCAACCGGGGCCTGAGACGTGCAGGGGTCTTTGGGGGATCTCACTGCCAGTAAAAGTTACCAGGGAGCCACAGGCTCAGGCTTGGCTTCAATGCCTGTGCATTTCCCACCATCACTGCTGTCTGGAGCAGGATCGGAAAGGCCACTTTGCACAGGCCTGTGCTTGGGGCCCCTGTTAGGTCTGTTTCAGTTTATTTTGGGGGTAAAGTTTTGCCAGTCTTGGGAGGTAGTTCCATCAAACACAGAAAAGTCACGTAATTTGTTGTATGGGTAGATGTTTTCAAAGCCCCTTCCAAGTGATAAAATGCTTCCCCTGACTTCTATCTCTTCTCTCAGTGGAGCATCATCCTATCCGATGTGTGTACAGAACGGTTTCCAGACAGCATTCTGTTACTGGAAACCCGTGTCTTAATGTGCTCACAGTGGTGCTGGCTGACCTATACTGCACAGTCTCAGAGTTCTCAGCCTTTGGTCAGAGTGGCTCACTGGTTCTTGTGGTTTACTTAGGCTCTCAATGGTTTTGCGTGGTACCCTTGATTCAAAACAACACAAAACACCCGACTCAGTTCCTGTCTCAAAAACTAAAGGGTTAAGGAGAATAAAACAGGGTACAGGAAGATGTAGCTCAGTTCTAAGGCCCTGTGTTCAATTCCTAGGACCAAGTACTGATCAGAAAAGAAAACGAAATGCTCAGCAGTTAAGCTCATATAATAGGTCCGAAGAAATGAATAAATATTTGTGTTCTAACAGTTTAGAAAAACAATCGTACACTTACATGGAAAGATGACAGCTAACATTGCTGTCTCATTCTTAACCACTGTTATTTACTGATGAATGTGGGTACATATCTGTTGAATATTGTACGATTTCTTAAATATCTTGGAATTAGATTGGATACCCTTAGTTTTGTTTCATATTGATTGTTTTTTTCATAGAGATACTATATTACTGGAAGATATTTAAGTCAGGTGTGGTGATACACGCCTATCTAAATGCATCTCCCAGAGTACTGGGAGGCTGAGGCAGGAAGATTGCAAGTTCAAGTCAAGCTAGGTGCTTTAGCAATAAGACCCTGTCTCAAAATTATTAAAAGGGCTGGGAATATAGCTCATTGAGAAGGTTCTGAGCTCAATCCCCAGTTTTGCACTAAATAAATAAAGCTACTTAATGTGATCTAATGGATGAATTGTCCAACATTTCAGAGTGGTAGTTCTTGTGATCTCCATATTAATGGTGACCATATTTCACTTGGAAACTTGAAATATCTTTTTGTGCCCTCTGAATTTACTGCAGTGCTCCAGCACACCTTGTTGTACAGTTTGGGAACTCGAATATCTCCGTTTACCAGATTGATTAGCTGAAAAAATTGATTCAGAGAGCCATAGATTATGTGTGTGTGTGTGTAATTCAACGTGCGGGTACACATATGCAAATAATAGATCATTTTTAGTCCTGTTGGTAGGTCAGAGAGTGCCAGTAACATGCACCTCCCAGCATTGTCAGGGGTTTAAGGGAGTATAGTTACTTCTTAATTCCATTTACAAAATGTTAACCCCCGGTTCATTATTGGATAACCTTCTTGTGTAAGTCTGCACATGTGTGCCAGGGTAATTGTGGACACTGAATGAGGGTCTCAAGGCGAGGGAGGAGGATACACACCACACAGTAGCTCAGCTGCTCCCCTGATGGGATGGATGACATGTCATGATTGTGGCACGCAGTTTTGCCACCATCTTCCCTACATTATTAAATGAAAATGTCTTATACCATGGACAAACCTGGTGGGGAAATATGCAGAAAGAAAGTACACCAGGAGGAGCAGAGAGGCTAAAGCCTCACTCAGCAGGCAGAAGGGATTAAGTGCATTGACTAAGGTGCAGATCACAGGATGTGAACTTGGCCGTGCCCTGGTGCCCATTTATTATAAGCACCTGTGGTTGCAAATGCATCCCTAATGTCATGTAGTAAAGAGCTGGATGATTGGTTTCTATGTATTTTGTATCATACAAAATCCATGATGGATTGCAAGTTCAACTCAGGGATCCAGAATAATTTAATTCATTGCATTAAAAAGAAATAAACCGGACTCAAAAGACTAGTATTACATGTTTTCCCTAATATGTATCGTCTGGAACAAAACAGATGACCTGAGACTAGGAAGATTATTATTAGAAAAGAGGACAGGAATAAGGGGGAGGGAGAGGAAGGGGCATAAGGGGATAGGTGTGATCAAAACATGTCATATGCATGCATAAAAATAGAATGATTTAGTGATATTTGGGGAACTTGGGTTGGATATTTGGATGGGTTGGTATTGTTTTATTTTTCTGCATTTGAAGATAGTGGAACTGCCAAATGTGATCATTACAGCATTCTAAGAGACTAAGGCAAGCGGGTCACAAATTCAAGCCCCGCCAGGGCAACTTTGCAAAACTTTGTCTCAAAATAAAAAACAAAAAAGCCAAGGATGTAGCTCATGGTGAAAGCCCTGGTTTCAGTCTTCAGACCCACACAGGGAGAAAACCAAAACCTCTTAGATGATTGTTAAACAAAACGGGCTATCTGAATATGTTTTTAGTTACAGATTAGATTCCATTCCCAGAAGATGGTTGTTTAATGAACAGTTTTGTGCTGCATGAATGTAAACTCTTGCAGTTGTTATTAATATACAAATTATCTTTCTCCCTGTTCCCATCCTACTTGCACAAGGCTCAGGTGAACTGAAAATGTCATGTATTTTCCTTCAGCAGCCTACCTCCCCCACGACACCCACCAAGCCTGTGGTACCCCTGGACTGGGCATCCGGGGTGATGCCGAAGCCAGACCCCACCATCATCAACAAGCACATACGGAAATTAGTTGAGGTATGTATTGGAGGGAGACCACATAGCACTAGAAGACTCCTATTTCCAGAACATTCTGTGGTTACCCAGAGTTAGATTTAAAGGGCCACATGAAGCCCATGAAATCAGCTCTCTGGCAGTGGGAAAACTTTAGCCTTTGGGGGAGAATCTATGGAAAAGCCTTTTTCCATGTCTTAGCAGCGTGTTCTTATTTGCTCACATACTCTAAGCTACTTCCGTTTCCTTTCTTCCTTGCCACCAACTTGATAGAATTTTGGGGAATTAGAATCCCTCGTGACAGCCCTTGTGTCACCATGATACGCCACAAAACTTAGTTACTTGAGGGCAGAAATACATCCTATGAGTTGGATTGTTTTACTTGCTGTGTATTTTCAGGGTTCTGCAACATGGCAGTACAATGTGATTCAGGTCAGAAAAAATCACCTACTGTAGGACGCGGTCGGTTAGTTTTGCACATAGGAAGAAGAGTTCAAGCACTAATGTGGGGAAGATGAACACATCTCAGGTGCTGGAAATTACCATCCTGGATCTAACCTCTAATGGATCAGCATATGCTCTGATACAGTAGGATTGAGTCTGTTTGCTTTTTGCTGGGAAAGAATTTTTTTTAAAAAAAAGAAAGCAAGAAGGAAAGAAAGCCTTATGTGTTGGATAACCCAGGAAACTGTGAGGCACTGAACAAAAGCTTTATAGAGTACACGAGGCAGAAGAAAAAGAGTGCTAAGGTGGGGGCTTTTGTTAGCGGGAAGGGGCTGAGAAGGCCCTAAAGTCCAGTGGAGACCTTGAGGTGATGTGGTATAAACCGAACCAGCTTGCTGCCAGGGCAGGCGAGGCCAGCGTGCGCCTGACCGTTCCCTGGAAAGGCTGGATGTTCACTTCACCCGCTTGATCCAAGTGTACCTTGTGCCTCAAGTCCTAGGAAATTAGCACTTAGTTTAATATTTTCCAGCCTGAGAGATTTTTTTTAAAAGAAGTTTCACCTGTATTCCTATACTTATTAAGAGAGTTGGGTACCTTTCCAAGGGTGGATTGACCGTTTGCCTTTTTACTTTAGTGACTGACTGGCTTTATTTTTGTGTCTCTGCTCTGTTGTGTTGCAAATAATTTCGTGTCATTTTTCTTCAAATGTGTTAATTGAGCTTTTTTGTTTCATATATTTTGTATCATTATAATGAATATTTTTATGTCTTCTGACTTTAATAGCATGCTAAGACAAAACTCTCCCACTCAAAGATTTTGAAACATAAAAAAGATTTTCATCTTCTGTTATTTTTTTAGCTTTATTATTTTTTACGTTAAAATATTTACTGCATATAGAGTTTAGCATGGGGACAGTTTATTTGTAAGATTATTAGCCACTTCATTTAACAACTATTGGATAATCCATGATTTGCGTGTGAATTTTAAAAGATACTTTTTGATATTATATGGACCTATCTCAAGATTCCACTCTTTGTAATAAGTCGTACTATGTTGTTCTGATAAATACAGCTTTATAGAATGGTTTGTTTCTGTTCTTCCTCATTGTATCTCACTTTAAATAATTGTAGGCTATTAATAAATTCATTTCTATTTGAACTTTAGATATAGCAAGTTCAGTTGAAACAAATTCCTTCTCTTAAAGTAAGTAGGTAGATAGATGACTAGATGGGAAGAGAGATAGGGAGATAAAAATTTAAAAACTCTCCCTGGGATTTGATTGGAATTGCATGAACATATGCTTCCACTATTTGAGGTAGGTTAACTATTAAGCTTGACTTTCTTTCGTCATGGTATTAATTCCTCAAGACTGACTCCTACTCAACCCTGAGGTCTTGGTTTAGACTTTGTTTTCTCTGTGAATCTTTCATCTACATTCCCTGCTTCATGGTGCTACGTTATTATCCTCTGCACTTCACTTACCCTGTGTGCCACAAAGGCTTCTGGATTTATTAAAGATTCCAAGGTCTTTGATAGAAAGGATAATATACCATCACGGCTTTCACAGTAACAAGTTCAGAGCCTGGTTCATAAATCATCCTTCAATAAATGCTTGTCTTACTTTTGCAGTCTGTGTTTAGAAACTATGACCATGACCATGATGGGTACATCTCCCAAGAAGACTTTGAAAGTATAGCGGCCAATTTTCCCTTCCTGGATTCCTTCTGTGTACTAGACAAAGATCAGTAAGTTTTAATTTTGTTACATTATATTTTAATAATACTGTTTTAAAGTAGAAGATTAGCGGAGCAAAATATTACCTGTAGTTTGCATTTTGATGGCTTCAGTCTTAGTGCTTTGATGAGGCAAATCTAACTTTTCACTGACTTTTTTCTTGGTGTCTGCTTGAAGGGAACCATGGAGAAGATCACAGTGTCAGTGTTAAAAACAAAAGAATCCGCTTACACATTAACTCAGCTCTCCATTTCCCCCCATTATTTCTACTGCTGAGCTATCAACGCATCATCAAAAAGGAGAGGAGGAAAAATGGGATGAGATCTAATTTGGGAAAGTCCTGTACATTAGTGGACCTTAAAACTCATGGAAGTGGATTTTTTATTTTTGATGACTTACGATCTTCATAAAAGCAGATGATAGCTGTTGATAGCCAAGAAGCATCTGTACTTTATTTCAGTTGATCAAATGTTTTCTTAATATGCAAGTGAAAATTTTTCTTGACCTTCAAATGAGTCCTGAAAATTTTAATGGCTTTAAAGGCTAAGACTCAACTCACTTAAAAAATGATTATTTAAAAATAATTACTGAGAAAGCCTGACATTAATAACTGGATTAAATTTTAATTGTGTCACATTAGTTCCTAAGTGAAAAAATCATCTGTAATGAAATGGTGAATTTTATGTTAATGAAATATTCAAATGAAGTCACATTAGACACTTTTAATATTTTTATTGGCATGACAGTTTTTTTTAAAAACGAAATTTGTAAGTCATTCAGCATACCAAGTAAAGCTTTGACACATGAACCCAACTATTTAAAATCTTAAATTTGTACTCATTGTGTACCCTAAGCAAAGGATACTTTAAAATTAAATTATATGAGTAGAAACATTCCCTCTGAAAAATAAAATTCAAGTTAGCTGCTAACTACCCATATCTTTCCTTAGTTTGTTACTGTAGGTGATATGTAAGTAGGACATGGATTTAAAATCACTTTGTCATTTTCATTTATTTTCTCTGCTGGTTCTATGGACAATACATTCTCTAAGATACTGTTTTCCAAACTATGTTACACAGAAAGGCATTCACTAGTCAAATGTGGGAAACGCACTGAAATCTAATAGGTGGGGGTGTTTTATTACATGAATTCCTCCAGCTTCTAATAGGCCCCTCACCGTGTGTTGTGTTCTCTCAGAGGATGGGCTAACTCTGTTTCACAAATCTGTTTGCAATTTATTTATCAAAGAAGTCTCTCCTCATCCTCTATTTGCACCTCAAGGATCTGCTTTTCCTCAAAATGCTTGTAGGTATCTTTGCCCTAGGGCAGTCATGGCAAACCTTTTCCTGATCAAGTGCCCAAATCGCAACCTAAAACATTGTTTATCGCAGACTGCCAGCAGTGCAGTGAACCCTCAACTAAAGTTACTTTAGCAAAACAATTGTTATCTGATGTTGGACTGCTGAGGTGACTTGGCCAGGATGCAGCGGAGAAGACTGTGAGTGCTTGCTGCCCCATAGGTTCACTATCCCTGTCCTAGGTGTTAGCTAACCGGTTTGTTTTGTTTTGTTTTTAGTACTAGAGATTACCCTTTTCCACCGAGCTACATCCCCAACACTTTTTATTTTTAATTTTGAGACAGGGCTTGCTGAGTTGCCCACTCTGGGCTTAAACTTGCCTCAGCATCCTGAGTAGTGGGAATTACAGGCATGCCCAATGGACATTTACATTGGATCTGGCTCCCATGAAAGACCTCATGGAGAAAAGTCATAGGTTTTAAGCCGTATAGAGAGGTTTCAGTGACTAAATAAAACTTTTTCCATTCATTCAACTAGAAATCCTTTTAAATTTTACTTTAAGACTAGAGATGGTCTTATTTCTTGGGTTATCAGAATGCAACTAGGATGGATGTGAACACAAAGGATTCTGTAAGTCAATGCTGGGGTTCACTGAGCAAGATGGCCCACATCTGTAATCCCAGAACTCAGGGGACTGAGGCAGAAAGACTTAAATTCAAACCTAGTGTGGACAACTTAGTAAGACCCTATGTCAGAGTTTAAAAGAGGCTGGGGATGTAGCTGTATGTGAAGGCTCGATATTCAGTTTTAGTACCATAGCAAGCAAACAAACAAACAAAACCCAGATGCTCAGCTCTGACTGTACTCACAGAGATTGCTCTCCCATTATAAGAACTCACAGCCCACTGATAACATTCCCACCATGGAGTGAGGAAGGATGGACCATTCCTCTGTAGAGGGGCATGGATATTTCCAACTGTGTTTAGTGAGATACTACCAATTTCTGTAGCAGATGAACTTTAAACTTTCATAGTTTAACACATTAAAGTTTTTTCTCACTCATGTGAGTATAATATTCCTGGAGGTGATCAACTTCCCCTTTTTGATAATTCATGGACTGGACCCCTTCTGTTTGTGGCTTTGCAGATGTCATGCCTGGAGCCTCCTGCATGTATCTAGCAAATGAGAGGAAATGAACAAGCACAGTGGTTTTTTTTAAACTCCTTGGTCTTGACTATGACATATCACATCTGTTCAAGTTGGTTTAGTGATCAGTAATCACATGACCCCCACCTAGACTGAAGAGGACTGGAAAATGTTCCTTCTAACTAGGCAGCTGCTCATTAGTAACTGTGTTAGCCGGCTTTCCATTGCTGTGACAAAATGCCTAATGTAAATAAATTTAAAGGAAGCAATATTTATTTTGGCTTAGGGTTTCAGAGGTTTCAGTCCATGGTTAGCTACTTCTATTGCTTCCAGGCTTACGACAAGACAGAAACATCATGGTGCAAGGAAGACTGTTTACTTCGTGGTAGCCAGAAATAGAGAGTATGAGAGAGAGAGCCAGATAAGAAGTGGTCAGGACCTAGACATAGTCCCCAAGGTTCTGCTCCCATGATCTACTACTTTTAACTAGGCCCCACCTCCTTTTTGTGGTGTTTCCCAATAATGCCATTAAATTATGATCTCATCAGTACATGAATCCACTCAAGGCTTCATGATCCAGGCACTTCCTAAAAGGCCCTCTTCAGCCTTCAAAACCAGGGGCCTTTTGTGGGGATGTTTTAGATACTGACCACAATAGTAATAGATCTACACGATGAAAAGCATTAGACATGTTAAGTAGCAAGCGTTGCTCTTTCTTCCTCCATGAAGCCATGGAAGGGTCTGAGCCAGAGTTGCTGCCTGTGATTATGCTTCAGGGTCCTATTTACTTTGCGTTCTAGTAAGTGCAGCTTCTGGGTTGTGTGGTCCAGTGATTCTATTTGTTTTATATCTATCTGTCTCCATGTATCTAGAGTCTACCAGTCTGTATATCCTTTTTCTCTTTTAATATGCTTTCAGCAGGAAACCAGGATCCTTATGTGTGTTTGTGATTAATGCAGGGATCTCAGAAAAACTTGCACTTTTTAAGATCAGCTGGCCATAGTAGCACATGCCTATAATCCTACAATACTTGGGAGACTGAGGCAGGAAGATCACTCAGAGTCTGAGGCCAGCCCAGGCTATGTAGTAAGTTCAAGCCTTGAACTACACAGCAGACAGAACCCTGCCATGAAAGGAAAAAAAAAATAACAAAAAAACATGAGCAGGACTCTAAAGGACTCCTTGATTTTTATATATTTTATCAAAAAATGTTAAGCAATAAAATCAATAAATTTTAGTAGTATTATTTAAGTTATTTTGTGTATGAGACAAGAAGAGAATCTTAAAATAAGTCTGGAATAAGCCTGCAGGGACTTCCCTTCTGCATGTGGAGTCTGAAAGGAGTAAATGGACCAGAGAACGCACCGGACAAAGGGGAGCCAGTGAGGAATCACAGGGTCCACAGTGGGGAAATGTCAAAAGGAAACATGTCCCCAAATGGCATGCTGCCAGGAGGTCAGCAGATTCAAACAGTGAAGAGAGACCACTGACAGTGTCCTTGGTGACAGATTCAGAATGTGGGCCCAATCTGAACGGCATGAAGAGTAATGGACCGTGTTAGTAACTTTCCCATCCCTGAGACACATACAACTTCAGGAAAGGTTCATTTTGGCTCACGGTTTGTAAGGATTTTAGTTCTCAGTCAGTCAGCTAGCTCTAAGGCAGAGCAGCATAGCAGAGGATAAACTTAATTGTCTGGCTGTGAGAAGAATCACAGGGGATCGAGGGAGGAGGGAAATTGTCCTTTTGAGGCCACGCCCCCAGAGATCTGCCTCCTCCTATCAGGCTTTACCTCCCAGTATCACTTGCATCTGTAAACTCCTCAGTGGACCAATCCACTGTTGAGTATCACACCTCCACGATCCAGTCACCTCCCAAAAGCCACACCTGTGAGCAAATGGGGTACTGGGGAACATCTAGATATCATAACATAGATGGAAATGGGAGAAAAGTCTGATCAATGCCATTTTTTAAAAACTTGGGGAGTACAAAAGGAGAGAAGACAAGACAATTGTGAAATGGCAGCAGGGCTGAGGAAAGAAGCTTATTGGATGAAAAGTCTCAAGTGTATTTGAAAACAGAGGAAGAAACAGATACAAGGATTGAGCAGAACCTGGAAGGTTCAGAATCCTGCAGAAGCTGGAGAGCAGAGATGAAAGCATCTCTTCCTGAGCCATAGGAGGACCCAGGAGAGGACAGAAGAGATATGAATATGAAGGGGCAGGGAAGGGTATGGTCTCCAATGCCTGCTGGTGTAGAGAGAAGACAGTATGGAGCTCACCTGTATCAAGTGGATTTGATCTTTTTTGGTAAATAAAAAGCCAGAGTATGTGATGATCTGGGGAGCAAGGTGGGTGGAATTAAAGGCTGGTTCTGTGTGGGAAAGATCTGTAAGGATTGCTGTAGTACCTGGGCTGTGAGCAGTGAAACCTGGATGAGATCACGGAGCCAGCAGCATGCACGGCATGAGGCTGAATAGATGTAAGAATGCTGGGCCCGATTAGTACAATCCCATACCTCCTGCTACAGCCCAATTCTTCCAAACCTGTTGCTAGTCAAGGACTAGCAAGATATCCTTCTGGAAGCTCCTACTGAGGAAGCAAGGAGACTTTCTGAACTGGAGTACAGAGGCCACGTGGACACACATATGTGCATGGCCCTGCACACACACACGTACACACACACACTGACTTGGGTGTGCATAATTTTCTTCATACCTAAAAGGGTTTGATCACCTGAAGCTGTCCTTTAAGGTCCTCCCTCCTTTCCGATGTAATAGGCAAGTGAACTTTCCTCATCTGCTTTTGGCCGCAAAGCTTTGGAAGGTGGGTGATTGAATTGTCACAACTACTTAGTAATATGGCATTCAAGGGTCCTTCCTTTCTTTGATTCTTCTAACAGGGATGGTCTAATCAGTAAAGATGAAATGATGGCCTACTTCCTGAGAGCTAAATCCCAACTGCACTGTAAAATGGGACCAGGATTTGTCCATAACTTTCAAGAGATGACCTATCTGAAGCCAACCTTCTGTGAACACTGTGCTGGATTCGTAAGTCTGTTTTCTAATGTTTTCTCTTATGTGCAGTTATTTTTGCAGCATTCTGAAAAAGTAGGAAAATGGCACCCTAAATAGAAGCCATGATCTGCTTTGGATTAGAAGTAAAACATGATGGTTCCATGAAATTAGGGATGAAATAAAAGCAAATGCAAGATCAATGAGCTTAGCTATGAGCTGAGAGTGCGAGACTGGCAGGGACTGGGAAGGCTGGTGAAGCCTGCTAGCTTCAGAGAGCAGTTTGTCTGCTGACTACTGCCAAGGGAAAGGTGTCAGTCAGCCCAAGAGGCCTGGCATTCATCTCCAGTATTCATAAGTGGTTGCAATTAGGAGTGTTTATTATAGCCAGTTCCTCCCAGCACTCCTTTATATGGCATTAATCAGGAGAAATCCATCATGACATGGCTCAATAATTCTCACCTCAAAAAGCAAAAAAAATCTTTTGGGGAGAAGATGGTTATAATAATAAATAACATTTATGCAACACTTAGCAGTAACAAAATACTTCTGTGGACATTGATGTAATTAATCTTTATAGTCAACCCTTGAGGTAAACATCCTACTCTTCCCCATTTTGTCTATGAAGATAGAGAGATGTAGAGAGACTAAACACATGTTCTGATTCTGAATCCTACAATCAGCTCACCCCAGTGCAACACCTAAAGATTACACCACCACCACCCTGCTTTATGTGTGATAATTCTTTGGGAGGTGGGGTCAGCTCTTTGCCCTGGCCTTAAACAGAGATTCTTGAGCTCTGCCTGTTTTCTAGTTAATACTCAATTTAAAGAAAATGGGAAAAGTGGTATTTCAATTGAGCTGAGTAGGATGATTGCTCCTTTTTCTCAATGCCAGAGGTCACTTATGTCAGTTATTCAGCAGTCATGTCCCACTGAATGTCTTGTTGTATTTTATGCTACCATCCTATTACATTTCTTCCATCCCATGCTGAAGCTTTGGAGCTGGACGTGGTGGCGCACATCTGTAATCCCAGTGCTCAGGAGGTTGAGGTAGGAAAACTTGCACAAGTTTGAAGCCAGCCTGTGCTACTTAGTGAGATCCTGTCTCAAAAAACAAACAAACAAACACTCAAGGCATTGGGAAGCCCAAGGGTAGAGTTTATGTTCAAGCACACAGACTTCTGAGATAGTAAATAAGAGGCAGCTGTTTCAGCAAAGATCACCCCAGATGGTCACAGCAACTCATGTGGCCAAGAGGCAAGGCCAACCTACTAGCTCTCCCTACCCACCCCGGGGGAAGAGAAATTCTTCTCTTAGTGTCTCCCCCAGAAACACATTACTGCCCATGTTGTTGTAAAACAAACGTACCTCCTTTTTCATGGGTCTCTTGTTCTCTATTCTGAAGAGAAGCTTTGGAAGTATCTAGACCCAAAAGTGCTGAGGTAGGATGGGGCCATATGTGACACTCCCCTGCAGCATGGAACCTGCTAAACAAAAGATCAGGCTGTTAGGCATGGCGTGGCTTAGTCAAAAGACGTGTCCTTTGGTGCAATGTGAGAGTTAGAAGGTCTTACCAGCTCCCAGGAGCCTACCTTGATCTTAATGTCCAGACCCTTTATCCTGTCTCTCCCTTTTATTTCATTGGTACAGTTTTATTTGGTCTTCATTCATACACATTAAAAAGTGTATTGGTTTTCAAGAAATTTCTAAGTATAACTCTAGAGGTGTCATTGAAAGGAACTGTGGGAAAATACAAGGACCATTTTTCTAGCACCTGGGCCATCTGCTTTGAAAATAAATTCCATTTCAAGGGGAAAAAAGACCAAGAAAAACCACTTCCCCTGCAGTACATTTATTTCAGAATTAGGACTGCAGAAATGAAACAGCATAGGTAATCCCCAATCTTGGATGTTTGGTAGATGATGATCTGAGATCTAGAGAAGTGAAGTGACTTTCTGAGGTCACATGAATTATTAGCAGGAAGACCAGGACTGGGATACATAGCTAGGTCTCCTGACCTCTGTCCACTGCTCCTTACACTACAAAAAACTACTCCAAACATCACAGCAGCCTGCGTTTTGAATCAGAGGACTATCGAAAATAATCCTGCACACCCATCCAGATGAGGTCCCCTCCTGCTGTCCTTGGCTGGCACACTCACCCGAGTGAGTTCCCTGCTGGTGTTTCTCCTGATTATCAAGTGAGCATTAGCAAACCACGTCCTGACTTGCCTTGCTGACTGGACTCTTCAGCAGTGCCTGCAGCCTTGCTGGGAGGTTTTATATCCAAATGTTAGGAAACCTTCTTACATCATGACCTTTCTGGCTCTACTCATGGTTTTACTCACACACAGAATGCCCAGGAGCAATGCTGTCCTGTCTTTTCCTTAGATTATGTAATCTTCTGTCCCTATTTAATAGCTATGAGACTTCACCAAATGACTTCACCTCTGTGTAGATCAGGCTCCTTATCTGAAAATGAGGTATATATTACTCCTGTATGGATGGCATGAGTATTGATTAGGTTAATATATATTAAGAGCTTAAAACTGTGCCTTTCACACAGCGAGAGTTCAATACATGTCAGAATAACTTTTATTCTACAGTGTTCTCCTGTCCTCATAGAATAAATTTTATTCTACAGTGTACAGTTGTGGGACCTTGTAAAGTTATTTAACTCCCTGGATCATCACATTCACCTTTTACACAGGAGAAGCCAGCTGGATTATCTTTAAAATTCTCATAGTTCAAGGCAAGATGTGACTTTCCTGGCTACCCAGGGCCCTGTCTCTTTTCTAGTCTTCTCTTTACTCTGAGCCTGGCTACCAATTAGTTGTCTAATAATCTTCTTGTCTCCAAGACAGCATGGTACCCTCCCTGCCCCAGGAGGTATTGGCATCTTAATAATATGCTCTGAAGGACCAAATAGTTTTTACATTTTATAATTCAATTTAATTTATGGTATGGGGTCTTAGTTCTGAGCTACATTCCCAGCCTTTGTTTGTATCAGGATTTGAATTCAGAACTGTGAGCTTTCCAGGCAGGTGTTTAGCTACTAAGCTATATCCCCAGCCCTGTTTGTTTATTTGGAGACAGGATCTTGCTAAATCATTAAATTGCCCAGGCTAGGCTTGCAATTATGATCCCCCTGCCTCAGCCTTCTAGAGTGCTGAGATTACAGGCATGAACCACCATGCCCAACTGTCTCCTAATTTAATTTTTAAAAATATTTTAAAGTTAGTTTATGTTTCAAACACATAATGGGTATGTTGATCTTGGGAAGTCGGCACAGGTATATATTAATTTTAATCCTTTTTACTTCTCCTCCTCTCCTTATCCCTTTTTCCATCTCTACTGCTTCCCATTTGCAAGAGATCTATGTCTCTGTTTCCCAAATAATTATTTTACTGGGAATTGAACCCAGGACCTTGTGCTTGCTAGGGAGGCACTGTGCCGCTGAGCTTTATCTCTGGCCCCTCAAATAATTTTGAAGCCTCAAAAGAATATGGCGTAGTTACTTTTCTGTCATTGCCGAGACAAAATACCCAACAGCCAAGATTAAAAGAGAAAACATTTGTTTAGCTCACAGTCTGTAGAGGTTTCAGTCCATAAGTGGTGGGCTCTAAACCAGGGTGGCGAGGCAGAGGAGCAGCAATTCATGGTGGCAGAAGACAGCAAAATCAACAACTGACACTAAACAGCATCGTTCTGCATCTTTTATACTCTATCCAGGCTGCTGGGATTAGGGCAGTGTCAGTCCAATCAGTGGACTGATCCAGCAAGCACCACCCTTACCCCCAGCATTGTACCACCAATCAGTCACATACTCCAGATTCAGCTGCTCTGAAAAAGGCCCATCTAAAACTGCAGGAGGCTTTGGGGGACATCTAGACCCAAACCATAACAGAATCTTTGCGTTTTCCACTGGTAAAATCTCATTGTCCGGAGAGGAAAGGAGCAGTCCCGATGATGCCCTCATGGGCAGCTACTTACTCTTCTTAGAGGACCATAATGCCCATTGCCACTGATACACTGAGGACAGTACCCACACTTACCCAGGAGCTTGCTGGCCTTTCTTCTCTCATCATCATTTATTAGTAAACAGAAGCCACCTAACCTAACCATGAAAAGGTTGGGCACGAAAGGTTTCTACTTGAATTAAGCCTGCTTAGTCAAATGGAGCCCAGTACTGTAGATATTTGGTGTCCATGCTGCCCATGTGCAAGTGCCTTGGGGAGGCCAGGGAAGGACATGTCAAGGTCATCTTCCTCATGGCATCTAGAAGGAGCAAAGACATCCCCCAAGACACGCCCTGAACTGCCAAGCAGATTCCTTACTGAACTTGGTAAGGAATTTGTTATGCTGAATAAATCATAACATGACAGGAACTTGGCATAAGATCTTACTTAACTTTATTTTTTATTCTAGAACCAGGCAATATTTTCTTCAATAAGATAGAAAAAATGGCTCAGGGAACCAAGCATGGGAGATTGGTTTTACAGACAGAAAAAAGCTGAAGAATGCAGAAACAAAGAGGAGAAAGCAGACTGGTGTATCTAAGTCACTTTCCTGGTCAGGCAGGAGAAAGAGATAGAAGAAGAGAGAAATAACTTATTGGTTAACTTTGCACTCTCTTTGTGTGTGTGTGTGTGTGTGTGTGTGTGTGTGTGTGTGTGTGTGTAAGGATAAAAGCATGGGGAACTTCATTATCATGAAGTTGAAACTGGCCTGTTTGGGAAATTTGGGCATAATCTCTCAATTTCTCCTGGTTTCTGGGAAGGTCAGATAAAACACATACTTTCCACTTAGTAATGTGGAACGTTGGCATGAGTGACTCCATTTTGATTCATAGTCTGGTCTTTTGGAGCCCAGTGCAGCGTGTTAGTCCAAAACAATGACTTTCTATAATTTTTATTTCATAATCACTACCTGTGTATTAACCACGTGATTGGCAGAATCTGAGCCTTTTCTGTGTCTCCTGCTGCCCTGGCACAAGCCAAGCACAGAACACATTGTAGATCCTCAGTATGTGACTAGATAAGATTATTTCCTCTTCTGTAGTCTTTGAGGTACAGTACAAATGTTCAAAAAGTGAATGCAAAATCCATATTACTAAGTGCACTTCTTAGATTGTAGTATTTTCTGTTAAGGGACCAAGGACTGCAAATGTCACTAAAATGAAGGCAGGAAGGAACGAGGGGCTTCCAAAGACCCAGCGGTAATTTGCCCTGTAAATTCTGCTGAGTGCTTGCTTCATCAAAGCTCAGAAGTGCATCAGCTTGAGCTTCCCGTTCCACCTCCCATTTGGCTCAGGGGAAGAAAAGGAAAGTAGGACTCGGTTATCACCACAGCTGGAGTGGGCCCGCCCTAAGCGGGGTCTTCTCTCTGACAGGAAGGGTGTTCAGAGCAGCTACATCCTGTTTGTGCTCAGCAGTCCTGCAGCATCCCAGGACTTCCTTTGGGCCAGCCCTGTTTTCCTTCCAGATTTCTCTTCATGTTCCCTAACATTCATTTTTCTTTTGTTACAGCTTTGGGGCATAATCAAACAAGGATATAAATGCAAAGGTAAAAAAAAAAGTTATCTTTTTATTTTTTAAATTTGGGATAAGAATTAAAAAAGGTTTTGGGAAGTGAAGAATAAGAATTCTGACGGGTGACACCTTGCCATCCCTGCTCAGGGGCAGCTGCTGTTGCCACGCTCTGCAGGGCCTGCCAGGTCTGCTCCCTCCTGGACCTGGCTGGCGGGAGGGGCAGCCACAGCCAGGCAGGCAATCTTTGGGGCCCATTTCTCTGCAGGATCTTCAGTGACTTGTGTAGAGGAACAAGCTGAGCCAAGACAGGGCACCTGGCTCTTTTCCAGCGTGGGCACACACCCTGCAGGGTTAAGCAGGGCTCCAGAGATTCAGCCCCGAGCTGGGAGTGGGGGTAAGGGTGACTGGCAAAGGGGGCACCCCCCAAGCTCAGTCAGCACCAGACACGTGTGCTTCATCCACACTCAGCATCTGTGAACAATGGGATTTTTCAGACTGTGGAGCCAATTGTCACAAACAGTGCAAAGATCTCCTGGTTCTGGCCTGCAGGAGGTTTGCCCGGGCGCCCTCCCTGGGCAGCAGTCAAGGGTCACTGCCCGGAAGCCCCTCGCTGCCCCCAGGTAATGACCTCTGCTTTCCTTGCCATCCTTGTCTCGCTCACCTCTCCGCACCTGCAACTCTTTTGGATTTCAGCCTGGCGAGTCCCTTAAACTCAGTGGCTGAGTCCCTGGCCCCTATCACCGCTCTCTGCTTCCCAGGTTCACTGACATGTCAGTCACCTGTAGCTGATTCAGTTCTGTCCCCGCTTGGGCTTTGCCCGTCAGACCTCTGCTATTCATGCTAACTTTGACAGTTTGCTGACAAGCTGACAAAAATCAAATAACCATCATTCTCTTTTCCCTTCCAGTGCAAGATGAGGTGTTTGAGTTTCCCGGGGTTGCTGCTGGACACCGGGATCTGGACAGCAGAGCCATCACACTGGTCACAGGCTCTTCTCGCAAGATATCCGTGAGGCTACAGCGGGCCACGACCAGCCAGGCCACACAGACTGAACCTGTCTGGTCCGAGGCTGGTTGGGGAGACTCAGGGTCCCACACCTTCCCCAAAATGAAATCCAAGTTCCACAACAAAACAGCAAAGAACAAAGGCTTTGCTAAGTGGGAAAATGAGAAGCCCAGGGTGCAAGCAGGTGTGGACGTTGTAGACCGGGGCACCGAGTTTGAACCTGCCCAGGATGAAGGCCTGGATGAAACCAGACAGGATGGTGAGGTCAGTGCTGGGTCAAACCACAGATAAAATCTGAAAAAGAAAGTTGAAGGGGATGAGATGAACATTACAGTAGACGTGGAAGGCAGTCCGATGGTTTTGAGAGCAGTACTGTTGGGAATCAGGATGTAGCCCTTTAAATGTTGCCCTTGGCTAATTATTTGACCCTGAAAAGATGTTTTTTAAGGTTAGGGCTTGTTTCATTACACCTAAAACTGAACTGGATTGAGTTCTAAAATTTATCAAAGGTTGTCATGTCTGTGCACAGAAATATTACCCCAGAGACCCACGGTTCTTGCATGTATCCAGTATATCAGTGCAGTATTTGTTTTCCAAGACAGAACCAGGGCCCAAACTCAGGGGAGACAGTGGAGGCAAAACATTTGCAGGTACAGGAGAAATGGAAATCTTGTCTTTACTAAAAAGGAGACTTCTGACAGCATCATGGGAAAACGGGTAGTGAGAATCAGATATCACAACCTCAAGTTCTATGCAACAGTCTCTTTTTCCAAACAAGAATTACATTCCGATCATCCAGACTAAACTGAGATGCATATGGAATTTGTTTGAACATGCTGAAAATACAAATGGATTCAAAATGGGCTTAAATTTTATTAATCAAAGATTCATAGTGCATGAAGAAAAAGGCTTCGGGGGAATTGGTGTCACGCTGCTAAAGCTCCAAGCAGTGTCGTGGAGGCCACTGCCTCCTAGTCCCGACAGGGTAGTACAGGGTTAGGCAGACTACAAGACCAAGCCAGTGCTCTGTGTTCTCATGCACTCATCTGGAGAATGAAGGACACAGCCTCCCTAGTTTCTCATGATGAGAAAAACCCCAGTACCTTTAACCAGAATCCTCCAGTTCCACATTAACAACAATAAGAAGGCAACACACCATTGTATCTCCAGTCATAGGAAATGTGTTTTAAATTCCTGCTGACCCACTTCCCCCCTTACTTGTAAGGCTGTTAGTTTTTTGTTACTATGAATGAATACCTGAGATGAGAGAGAGATGAGATGGGGAGGCAAGGGAGTGGGAGAGAGAACCCCACAGTTCACTTAAAGCGTGTAGCTTGGAGGGAGAACATGTGCTTATTGTACAGGAGCCTGGGTTCAATCCTCAGCACTGAAAATTAAAATAATCATTTTATTGATGTATAATTAATGTGCCACAAAGTTCGCCCATGTAAAGCGTACAGCCCAGTGGTGTTATCATAGCTGCAGAGCTGTGCTACTCTCACTACAGTCTAATTTTACATTTTCATCATTCCAGAGAGAAGCCCTGTAGACATCAGCAATCACTCTCCTCCACTCCGCCCTGACCTTAGGTTGCTGATTTTCCTTTTATCTGCATAGATTTCCGCCACCAACTTTTAACACTTCCCATACTAATTACCCTGGCAAATGGATCATTATTCTGTCCTTCCGCTTCTGCTCCTCTCCTAGCATAGTTCAAACTGAGAATGTAAAGGTGAATAAGAAAAAGCACATGATTTGGTGCCAGGGGAAGATATCCTAGGGCAAGGGCTCTTACACTGTTCTGAAAAATAGCTTCAGGAAGGCTCATAAAAGTGGCTTTTAATTTTATAGAAAGTATACATAGACATATGCTGGGCAGAAGTATTCGTAGAATTTAACAGATTCTCAAGTAGGGGGAATTATCTGTGATTTAAAAAGAAGAGGAGAAAAAGACAAAGAATCATTGTGCAAGATTTTCAGAAGGATGACAAAAATTGTGCCGACCACTCTGGGTCCTAGTTGAGCTTGTAGAGACCATGCTTACAAGCTTGTGGCTGCCATGGAAGTCTCAGAAAAAGAGCTTGCTTGGGTGAAGCCCTAGGATGCCCACCTAGAGCACGTCAGTGATGTCTACTTCATGGGCACGCTGAATTCGGGGAGCACCTGCTTGTGAATCTGATCATGAGAGCTCTGTTGGCTGTCACAGTTCAAGTGACTTAAACTAGACTCCTGAGTTAGGAGAAATTCATAGCCAGTTAGGTGCAGGGCAGTCACATAGGTAAGATTTCCTGATCATTAGTCTTTATTAGGAGATAGAAACAAAGATCTGAGGGATTTAAAAAAAATTCATTTTGTTCTTTGAAAACAACTTTTATATTCAAATGTTCTTAGTGTTTCAATGTTCTCAGCTGATAAATCATGGAGTTGGTTCACTGACCACTAATATCATTTGTTCCACTTAGAAAAGACCATATACTAATATATAAAATGCTTATATATGGTACACAGTCTCCCATACAAACCAGGAACAAGAAGGCATTTGATCTTGTTCAAGGAAAAAGGAAAAAAAAATATGACAAAAGTACACCCAACTGTTGAATATGTAAATAAAGCAGTTTTCAAATTGAAGAGATTTTCTGCCAGCCAAGAGTAAACAGAATGAGACTAAGCAGAATGAGGGATGATCTATACATTAACTAGTTAGTAACATGATATTTATCAGTTGTGTAATTAAAAATGTTAAAACACGGGGCTGGGGATTTAGCTCAGCGGCATAAGCGCCTGCCTTATAGGCAGGCAGTCGTGAGTTCGATCCCCGGTACCAATAAAAAAGAAAAAGACAAAAAAAAAAAAAAAAAAACAGGAAAAAAGTGTTAAAACACAGGTATCCATTTTCTGGAATGGAATTCTGCAGGCTGGGTTATTTTAGAAGTTAATTTAGGTCACAGTTCTGGAGATTGTGGAGTCCAACAGCAAGGGGCTGGCATTTGGTGCCCTGACATAGCAGAAAGCCAGAGCAGGCAGGCTAGCTTAGGTCTTCTTAGAAACCTAGTTGTGCACATGGTGGCACACGCCAATAAGCCTAGCACTAGGGGCAGCTGAGGCAGGAGAACTGCAAGTTCAAACTCAGCCTTTGTAACTTAGTTCATACATATTACCTGTCTAAATATACATTCATATATCAATTGTTTCCTTAAAATTTTTCTTAATGCCTTTATACACATTTATTGTGGATATTTTGTTTGTTTGTTTTTGGACTTGGAGATAAGGTTTCACAACGCAGTAGTGGCTAGCCTTGAACTCACTTTGTAGAGGAGGCGGGCCTTGAACTTGCAGTGATCCTCTTGCTTCAGCCTCCTGAGTGCTGGGATTACAGGCGTGCACAGTATGTCCAGCCTTGAAATGTGGATTTCTACGAGGGGAACCTTTATCCATGAGCATTGGAGGGATTGTTTTTGTGGTGCACCCTTAAGGAAACACTAAGGTTAACACATTTGTACTCCGGAAATCTTCAGGTTCCATATGCCAGGTGGACATAACATTTCAGTTCCCTGTATATCCTGGGACTACCTTCTGATCATTTAAGTTCGGCTCTGTTCAAATCAAATTCATTTGAGAAACAACGTTTTAGCAGCACTTTTGTTCAGTGAGACCCAGTCATGCAACAGGCTCTGATTTGTATTGCAGGATGGCTGACTTCAAGCTGAGGAAACTGAGGCAATCATGTTGGCTTTGGGAAGGAGCAAGATGAGGAGCTCTGAGGAACTCTCCAATCTCAGGAAGTTTTCTGGAAAGATACCTGGATATTTTCTGCTGTAGGACATTGTGGGATCACCGTGGTTGGCCAATGGGACAGAAGATTTATCCTAATAATGAACTATTTATTCTTCCTCCTTATCCCTAGTTAGGTGCCACACAGACTGTGTTATGTAGCTAGCTGTCTTCTCACTGTATTTCTCTTGAGCCGTTTATATATGGGTGAAATGGAAGCTTCTGTGCATACACTGGATACTCTCAAACCTCCGCCTTTGCTGTTTTGTGAGGCTATTTCAATTCTGTGGACTTTGGGGATGGGACCAGTACTTAATGTTTTCTTTCTTGAGGGACAAGGAAGCCACTCAGGCCTGGAATCTTGCAGTTCTAGTGAAGATCATCTGCAAGGAGAAGCCATTCATGTTCCTGCTACACAGTTGCTGTGATGTAGAGTAGGTCCCATGTCCCTGTCATCAAAGTCTCACCAGTTCTGCATCACTAAGGGTCTGGAAGCCAGCTGTGAAGTGCTCCTAGTATTTATAATAGCCATGGGGGAAAATGAATTGCACTTGTCTTATCTGACTGCACACCTTTACTTCTTTAGAGCCCTAAACCAGGAAAAGCTATTGAAAAATCCATGTTTTGGGGAATAAAATTTAGTAGAGAAGTCACTTAACAAACCACTAGGTAAACTGCAAAATCTCTGCCAATTTGTAAAAGTTCAAAGTAATTCTAATTTTTGTTTAAAATTGTTTTTTGTTCTGAAAGGTGATTCTTATACCCTTCCCAAATCGATTTCTATCCATAGTTAAAAGACTATTCGTTAAAAAGAAAGCCATCAGAAATCACCTTGAATATTTCATTTAAACTTTGAAAAAAATATTAGTAATTTAGGTATTTTCCTCTGGCCCAGAGTATCTAGATATAGGCCTATTTCTTAAATTATTAGAGAGAGAACTTGATTCAGGATGTTCAGAATAGAAGCCTGGTGCTAGCAGTATACACCTGTAATTCCCAGCACTTAAGAGGCTGGGGCAGGAGGATTACCCCAAGTTCTGAGCCACCCTAGGCAACATAGAAGGACACTGTTTTAAAAAACCAAAAATGCGGGAAAAAGCTGTTTGAAATAGAGATGGAATTGAGCCTGTGGGTGAGGTGAAAGACTGCTGCAAGTGACCAGCCAGAAACTGTCACATAGAGGCACGTGGTCGCCATATTGGAAGGCGATTTTTAAATACATAGCTCAGTAGAACTAACTGGATATGTGGCAGTCACTTTTTTCTTCTCTTTTCTTCACTGCGGACAACTGAGGACAGTTCTGCAGGGCCAACTTGCTGAGCACTGGCTCTGGACAGGCCCTGTGCAAAAGGCACAAAGACAAAGGACCTGGTCTCAGCCTCAGGGCTGAGAGTGTGAGGACACCAAGGCCATCTGGCTCCCAGGATGTCCATCCAGCTGGGATTACAGAGTCACCGTCTGTAAACACCTCCTGGGCAAACTGCCACTGTCTGAGATGAAATAACAAAACTAAAACCAAAATGGTAACTGAAGCACAGGGAACCCTTCGCTGTGTTTTTTTTAGAAAAAGAAGTAACTTCAGGAAGAAGCCTGTTAATAAATGTGGGACTGCTCCTTTTCTTCTCAAGGGAATTATTTCACTTCATCTTAATTTGGATATTTTTGTGTTTTCCTATATAGGAAGAGTTTCATATTGTCATTGTCCTATGACAAAGATACTAAATGTACCCTGAGCAAAAAATAAACCAAACATATGCATAGGAACTATGTGTATATATTTTGTGGGTGTACACAACACAAAACTATTAGTTTGCAGAAGAGGCATTTGAATCCATAAGAAAACTGCATAGTAATTTTTATTGCATCATTTACTTATAACTAGTGGTGAGTCTCACATCTCCAACCTATCAGTTTGCCATAATCAGCAAAATAAACACAATAGGCAAACCCATGATGGAGTAAAACCATTATGGATGTTTCCTCCAGACCTTTGTTTTAAAGCTTTGAGGATCACTGTTGCCTTTGAAGTCAAAACCAATACCAAGTGAGTATTAGGTATGAGGGCAGGATTACTAGAGGCTTCTATTGAGTCTTCACTGAAGAATGTACACATTGGGATGAAGTATTTGTCCATCTACCTGGACCAGAGCGGCTCTAAGAGGTAGAGGGCAATACTATCCCCACATTTCCGTGGTAACAGCATCTCCAGTGGTCCAAGGGGTTTGCTGCTTAAAAGTGAAGAGGGAACTCTTAGACAAGGGTACACCAAATTGTTCCTGCTGGTAGGAAGCTTAAGTATCCCTAAGATAAACACACTGATTTTTGCAAAAATTAGTGATTATAAGACTAGAATGACTGAGGAGATAAATTCAGTCAAATCGTGTTTCCCCCGCATACCTTTGGCATGCACTTCATAACTGGATTTTTTCCAGCACCAGGATTAAACTTGCCTTCACACTGAGCTATGTCCCCATTCCTTTTGGATTCTGGTTTTTCGAGACAGCCTTGCCAAGTTGCTCACACTAGCCTTGAATTTGCCATCCTCTTATTGCCTCTCCAGAGTGCTGGGATGATAGGTACGTTTATACCCGCTCACAAAAGGACTGGAATCTCATCTTTGCTGCGGTGGTCATGAGATGCTGGGCACACTGGGTGCATCTCTCTGAGCCTGGTACCCTCATGTGAAAGAAACTCGTTTCACCACCTTCCCCTGCTCAGCTGGAGACTCACTGCCAGGATCAAGACAAGGCCTGGGGTACAGGGTAGCTCAGTAATTTGCCTATGCAAGATCCCAAGTATTTAATTCCTAGTATGGCAAAAAGGGACACAAAACTCCTTAATAAAGCATTCAACATTACTTAAGAGGAAAGATCAAGCCAGAAAATATATTAAAGTACTTTGTAAACATAAATTAAAAGCTGAGTTGGGCTGGGGATTTAGCTCAGTGGTGTAAGCGTCTGGCAAATGCAAGGTCATGAGTTCAATCCCTGGTTCAAAAAATAAAAATGCTGAGCAAGATGGTACAGGTCTGTAATACCAGCTCTCTGGGAGGCTGAGGCAGAAAGATTACAAATTCCACCTGAATAACTGAAACCCTGTCTCAAAAAAAAAGTAGGCTTGGAGATATAGCTCAAGGTGAAGGCCCTGGCTTCAATACACAGTACAAAAATGTAAGAACAAAAACCAACACCTTATGAATTAATATCCTTTTGCATTTAGGGAGGGGTTTCTTTCAAAATTGTCAAGATTCCAAAATTTTCTTTCTATGGGGGAAGGTAAGACAGAGTCTCGGTACATAGTTCAAACCAGCCTTGAACTCACTATGCAGCCCAGGATGACCTTGAACTTGTGGCCCCTCCCTGTGTCAGCCTCCTGTGTGCACAGCACCCGTAGTTAGCATGCCAGACTTCCTAGGTATTATACAGCTGTATATCTTGGAGGTTCTAAATTTTCTCTCAAACATTTAAACAAAGAAGAATGAAATGTAGTTTTTGTTACTTTAGGGACGATATGTGAAAATACATAGGCAAGCTTAAGAAAACAAATTGAGCAGGCGTAAAAGCCTAGGTTCAATCCCTAACACTATAAGAAATAAACAAATATCCCATATGGGTAAAATGTAAATGAATTTGAATTTGGAAAAAAATTCCACATATTGGGTGCATGTAAATAAATATATCAGAGGATAAATGTGTTTAAAAATCTAGTGACTAGAACTAAACGTTGTGGCATGTGCTTGTAGTACAAGCTACCCTAGAGGCAGAGGCAGGAGGCTCACTGAAGCCCAGGTGTTCGGGGCCAGCCCAAACAACAAAGTCCCCAACTGCAAAAAGCAAGACTAGAGATGATAATGTTGTTTATATGGGAAACAGGAAGGAAATGAAATTAACTTCTAAAATAAAAAATAAAAATAAATAATAATTGGGCATGGTGGGTCACGCCTGTAATCTCAGCACTCTGAAGGCTGAGGCAGAAGGATCACTTGAGTTCAAGTCTAGCCTGAACTACATATGGAGACCTTGTCTCAAAAAAAAAAAGTATACCATTTCTTTGACCACTGAAATGTATTTTAGAATGAATGATAAGGGATAAATCCAAAGAACTACTTGGCTTTTAAGCTTATCAGAAAATAGCTTCTCTAGAATACCTCTAAACCTGCAGGCTAAAGCCCAGAGGGTGCATATACTTCTAACAGAAATGCTTCTTTTTATCTTATTTTTAAATCATGTTGGAAATTACATGCATTTAGAATATAAGTGAAACCAGTTCATCCAAAAAGGACAAGGAAAGGATCAGTTAGAGGGCTCATAGGCAATGGGGACACTTTAAAGATGCCACGGAAAACAACACGGACAACAACAAAGGGTGGGGGGAGAGAAGGGACATTTCCAGATGAAGAGACAGTTAATGAGATATGGCAACTACACGTGATATTATAAACCTGGTTAGATTCTGTTCAAAAAATAAGGCAGACATTTTAAGGGAAACTAGGGAAATTTAAATCTGGGCTTTTTACTCTGTGATACTGCATGAATGTTAATTCACTTCAGTGTGGTAACAATTTTATGGTGATGGAGAAGAATATATTTTTAGGAGATGCCTGCATAAGTATTTAGACAAGTATTAATGTCTGCCAAATGGTCCACTAAAACCAAACAAATAGCAGAATTCTGGCACGCTGTGGCAGGAGGACCGTAAGTTTGAGACCAACCTAGGCAATTTAGCAAGATCCTGTCTCGAAACATAAAAAAGTTTGGAAGCTGAAGTTTCCTGGGCCTAGTTGGCTCTGAGAAGCAGAAAGCTGGGGCATACCATACAAGCAATATTTATAAGAAACAATCCGCCTCAATGAGATGACTGCTACAGTCTTTAAGATAGATACATAAATAGATAAAGTAAATAAATCAACCAACCAACCAACCAATCAACATATTGGTAAGTGCCCACCAACATATTAAAGGCTAACTGAATTTAACTCAAATTTAGGATCCTAAGAAAATTTTTACCTGGCCTGGATACCATCCTGGCTCCTTCTCTACATGAACTTCATATTTTTGGATAAAAGCTCAAAATTAAGGGAGATTGAAAACAAAAGCCCAAGACACAACAGAAGGAGGAAAAAAGACAGTTAATGTAAACATTTTTCATTAAAGAACAAACAAAACTGCACAAATGACATGAAAATTGTTTCTTCTCAAGAATTAAGCCTACTTAGCTAGGCATGGTGGTATATGCCTGTGATCCAAAATGTTCTCAGAGTGATAAGCCTAAAAGCCAGGTCTGGGCTACAATAAAAGACCTTTCAAAGATTCAAAGATAGAGCAGGAAAATGCAGACAAAGAGTAAACATTGGTAATTGTGGTACTATAACACAAAATTAAAGATAAAATTCAAGATAAAAAGCACAGGAAGAGACAAAGGCAGGCCCATTTTAATGCTAGCACAGTTCACAAATAAAATAAGCATGAATATTTTGCATCAAAACACATCATCATCATTTATAGAATGAGGCGCCTAAGAAGATACACAAAAATACATTAATAATGTACAACATCTATTTTCATTTCACTCAGCTCACAATGTAGCTGGCAAAACGAGGCACTACCCCTGTCGCCCAATATGGCAGCCATTGGCTCCACTGGTTTGAACACTGGAAACGTGGCCAATCCAAACTGACATGGGCTCTCGGTATAAAACATGCCAGATTTCAACAACTTAGTACAAAACGAGGGAAAATATGTCAATATTTTTCTCGATGCTGTAATGATAACACATTCAATATAATAAGTGAAGTACAATTTCACCTTTTTACTCTCTTCATAGGGCTACTTTAAAAATTTAAACTTAAAATTGAATATGTGGCTTGCATTATGTTTTATTTGGACAGTGATGTTGTTCTAGAAGAAACAAAATAACGAGCAAGATCTAAATAACTATAACTAAGACATACATAGAGTCTCATTCCATATACTAAATGTTTAGCACTTATTAACCCACTTAATCCTCTCAACAGTCTTATGAGGTAGATGCTATTGGTAACAGCTATTTAACAGATGAGAAACTGAGGCACAGAGAAGTTAAGTAATTTGCATAAGATCACAAAAGTGAATCTGGGATTTGGCTCCCATTTGTCTATACTGAAGACTCCAGTGCTATGACTGATAAACACATGTGTTGAACTCTGTCAGTTGAAAGATACATCTCCTCTTCCATCATCTTCAATGACACATTTCACATAGAACCACTAAACTGCAAAATTGGAAATAATACTCATAAAATTATTCCATAATGCTATAAAACTGGAACTCAATTCCAAAACCAGAACAATTAAATCCAAAACCCAGAAATTAAAACGAACAACACCTGAAACCTAACTTCTGCAGACCTTTCAAACAACTCTTAAATCAGAGAGGAGACTGAAGCTGAGTAATGCACAATAGATGATCATGAAAAGACTGTCTAAACCGCCATCGGATAGAGCACAAGCACAACTCAGAAGAAAAGTTACAGTTTTTTTCCCTGTGCTTGGCCAGAAAAAGTTTTAATCTTAACATTCTAACAGACAAGAAAGAGTCCAAATAATTGGCTCCTTTGCTCAAATCGAGACAAAGGCAGGAGGAGCAGGGAGGGAGGGAGGGAGGGAAGCAGGCAGGCAGGCAAGTTCAAGTGAGTAATTTTTCAGGGAAATACAATAAACAAAAACTGACTTAAGAATACAGGCAACAGCAGTGGCAAACTTAAGACACATGTGCTGCAGGCTGTTT